TGAGACTCTTGCTTATCTTCCGGCTCTTCCTGTCTCAGAGGTCGTGTTTACCTTGTACAGAACCTGAGCCTGTCACCAAGAACTAAGTTTGCAGGCGTCCTTTGGTCTTTTCACCGCTTTCCTGATCCGGGGTTCTTCCCTGATGGGCATTTGAAGAAATCAAGGCACGAGTGAACTTTGGAATGTGCAGTGACTTAGTCCTTGATTTGTGTTTTATAACCACCATGTAGATGCAATGAATAAGGAGGAAGTTGTGATCCGTTAGAAATTCGGAAAACTGCTGCTCTTCTAGACATGGCAAGTGAAGGAGACTCAACTTGTTTAAAATAAAATGTGGGGTGTATCAACATTATTACTGGTAAGACAGTAGCGATTTTCTTTAATTTCCTTTTCTCTCTCTGCGCTGTATTGAGTACCAGAGATATGTTGCACTTTCAGGAATTGTGACTATTGTTGAAAGTGAAGAAAAATTCCTAAAATACTAACTTCCAAAATGGCAAACTATTTGGTGCTTATTAAATCATAACATGCTAACAATACCAATGTGATCTGAGGCGATGAAAAACCATGTCTGGATGTACACATTGGCAAAAATGGCTGATTAATCTGTAGGATAGGGATTTGGAACCACCTTTTCAAAGGTTTTTAAAATTTCATCTGCACATTCCCCATGTTGCTGACCAAGCTTAAAAAGCTTAAAACAGGGACAGGGTTGTAAGAGGTCTTTACATCTTGGTTTAACAAAGATGCATGATTGTTTGCTTCTAGAGAAGTAGTGTGACTTAGTAAATTGATAGTGGAAGTTGTAGTGAAGAGACAAAATTTCATGTCCACCATCCCATACTTGAGATGAATCATTGAACTCCAGACTTTAGTTTCTTTATTTATAAATTGAAATGGTGAACATAAAACACTTCACACGCTCATAAAGTGCTAAAGAAGAGAGAATGCTTGGTTACAGTCTTCCAATCTCTTCTCCATCGGTTGTCTCTCCCTTGCCCAGAGCTCTTGTTTATCCAGGCCATCTCATCAAACTATTGTAATTGAAGAAATTAGGCAACTCCAGCTAGGAATCCTGAGTAAAATTAGAGTGATAGTATCAGGGGAAAAGGGGGGCAATGATAGGTAATTACCAACATTTTCTTTTTTTTTTTTTATTTATTTATTTATGCGTACAAGAACTGGGGTACAGGCCAGAGGTGTGGGGGGTGAGAGGATTCACCAGAGACAGAGTGGGGAGTAGAACAGGCAGACTGACTGAAATACACTGCTGAGGGAAGCAGCGGGTGAGACCTAAGAGTTCTGCTGTGCCATGTGGGTAGCTTCCTGGCCAGGGATCTAATGCGTGCTGCAGTGGCTGTGGACTGCTTCATAGGTTGCATCTTAACCCTTTGTACCACCATGGAGGCCCCTAACCAATATTTTCTGCTTGATACATTATGTATGGTGATCATTGAAAAATTGGAAAAGTCTGCTAATGCTGAAAAGTCAATATGGCTATATTTTGAAGCTTTAAAAAAAACTTTGACATAAAATAACTTATAAAATATACTATAAACAGGTCATAACTGCACTGCTTTAGAAACTATAGCAAAGTGATTGTAACTGAGGCTAAGAAATAGAATGTCATTGCCTTTTCTGATACACCCTGTACTCCTCTCTCCCACTTAGTAACCCTTGCTGTCCTGATTATTACCATAAATTAGTTCTCCCTGCTTTTTTTATATTAATATTTATTACTTGTTTGTATTTTCCCCAACTTTATTGAGGTTAATTGATAACCAAGACTGAATATAGATATGAGTACTTTAATATGTAGTCGTGCCCTGCCTTAGAAAGTCATTTGTGAAATTTCTTGGCATTTTCAGTTAATTTTAGAGGGGAAAAAATGCTTCCCTAAGTCCCTGAATTAATATCATCATGCACAACCATTAAGTCCTCCCATTAAAAAGGACAGTTACATTGTTAGTTGAAAATAGTTACATAATATAACAGACCAGTGGGCCTTCATTTGTTATTCTGTAACATGACTTTGAAATAAGGCTTTCCTACCTCCTTACTTTTTTTTTAAAGTTTTATTTTTATATACAAGAACTGGGGTGCAGGCCAGAGGTGTGGGGCTGAGAGGATTCACCAGAGACAAAATGGGGAGCAGAACAGGCAGATCTACTGAAATACACTGCTGAGGGGAGCAGCGGGGAGACAGGAGAGGTTTGCTCTGCAGGTGGATTGCTCCCTGGCCAGGATCTAACTCTTTCCACAGTAGCTGGTTATAGCTTGATAACACTGAGACTTTAACCCCTGCACAACTAGGGAGACTCCCTACCTAATTACATATTTGTATCTCTTGAGAATCTAAACTGCACACACACCTGTTCCCCAAGATCTTGCTTATTATAAAGTTGAGTTGTTCATAGGGAAGAGAGGGAGGAAGCAGTGCAAATAAGTAATTGCTAGAAAACGTGCAGAAGAGGCACGAGATTCAGGACGATTAGACTAAACCAGCAAACTGCAAGACTAAAAAGTGATGTGGGTCAGGAGCCAGCCTCACCAAGGGCAGCTGACCCCCCTCTCCATGCTCGAGGCACAAAAATCTTAGTTGGTCTTGGAAAATTTGAGGACTGAAGGAGAGACACTAAACAGAATGCTCATCAAGCTGAAAGCTTACTCCCAAGTGGGCTTATTTCAGGGCGTGGTTATAATTCCTCCTGTATTTGATTCTGTGAGCATTTTTTAGACGTTATTCATCATTCATCTACCACCTTATTTGTGAAACCTGCTGGTGTATTTCAGAGGATGGTTGGGCCCCAACTGATTCTCTTCTCTGTAAATGTCAATTGCTTTATGTGCTTTTTTCTGAGTCCTGTTACCAGGAATATCTATTTGCATTTCTTTGATTCCTAGATAAAGAGCCACTGAGTGAAGGAATTAGTCCTAAAAATTTTTTTTTACTATGCATATAATTCATGTATATTGTATAAGATTTGGAATTGTAACAAGAGTATAAGGATGAATGTAAAAATCACCCTACAGGCAAATAGTACCCTTGCTAACTTTGGTGTTTTTCATTATGTCTCTTTCTCTGTCCATCATCTATCTTGTATATGTATGTATATATATTACTTTTACAGACTACAATTTTGAATGCTTGTAATATTCCATCTTATGGTTGTATTATAATTCATTTTTATTGTATCCTTTATTTTTGGCTAGTTCAATAGTTTATCCTAAAAAAAATAACTAATTGGTCATGATCAACTGCCATAGCCAGGTTCTGTGCCAAGGACAGGAAATGGGTGTAGGGCATTTAGAGAACAACTAGAACTAATTTTTTTTTTTTTTCATCTTTGTGTAGAAGAACTAGGGTGTAGGCCAGAGGTTTTGGTGGGGGTGAGAGAATTCACCAGAGACAGGGTACAGAGCAGAGTAGGTGGACTGACTGAAATACACTGCTGAGGGGAGCAGCTGGCGAGACAGGAGAGGTCTGCTGTGCCATATGTGGGTCAGGTCCCTGGCCATGGATTGAATGCAGGCCATAGCAGTGATAGCACTGAGACTTAAGCCCTAGGCCATCAGGGAGGTCCTAGAAATAATTCTCAAATCTCAGCTGCCTTAGCTTTTTTTAAAAGGATTTATTTATTTATGCATATGAGAACTGGGGTCTAGGCCAGAGGTACAGGGGGTGAGAGGATTCACCAGAGACAGAGTGGGGAGCAGAACATGTAGATTGACTGAATTATGCTGCTGAGGCCGGGGATTGAACAGCTGCAGTGGTTGCCAATAGCTTCATAGTGCTGAGGCTTAACCCCTTGCACCACCAAGGAGGCCCTGTCTTAGCTTTTCAAAGGAGAAGCCAGGACGCTGTGAAAGTGTTGAAGGGGAAGATTTAGGATGGCTTCCCCAAGGAATGACATTGCCCTGAGACCTAAAAGCCATTAGCCTATAGCCAGGAGAAGAATGTGCCCTCCTTTGAGTGAGACACCCCAGATGACTTCTTTGTGCTGCAAGGATCTATGGCAAATTGGTAAAGGAGGCGTCAGACAAAAATTTATCACCTGGGCCTTCTCTGTCTTTTCTCTCCATTCTCACAAGGCTCCATCAGGGTCCCAGCTGCACAATGACCTTCCCAAAGGGGTGAGTGTGGCTAGATGTGGGTGCTGGGCCGCCACTTCCACAACCATCCAGGCTGTGAGGAATGTTCTTTCACACACTTTTTTTCTCATAAAATCCCAGAGTCCTATGAGGCAACCTGTTTCCTTTCACAGACAGGAAATGGAGGCTTCTGGAAGTTCCCTGAGTCACAGGGCTAGTGGCTTACTGAGCTGGAGTGAGACTCAGGACAGGGGCCTGTGCTCTCCACGGGCTTAGCTCCTACCACCTCACCTTCAGCACCACCTCGACCCTGCACCCTCCAGCCTTCAAGCCCTGAACATGTCAGCCTCCCAAAGGGGTGACCTTCCCAACATATCAGTCTCCCGCTGTCTGTCTCTTATGCTGCCCCACAGACATGTGACTTTCCTCAGGCTACTTCCTCTTACTGGGCAGCTGCCTCCTGTTATAGGAAAAGGGTCCTTGTGTGGTTTACTGTGCTGAAACGTCAGCACCCCTGGGTGCAGGGCCCACAGCCTCCGCAGAAGGCCTGGAAGGTCTGGAAGTTTCTCATCTGCAACAGGCTGCCTGCAGCTTAGGCATCTGCAGAAACCCTTGCAGCTACTCTTTCCAAAAACTCCCTGCCCCCCAGCGTTTTAATGAGAAAAATTTGCAAGTGCAAGGTCAAAAGACCTTGTCAAAGGTCCCCTGTTCTCCCCTCTGTCTACGAATCTGTTTATCTGTGAAGAATGCCTTGGGGATTTTGATGGGGTTTGCACTGAGTCTATAAGTTGCTTTGGGTAAAATGCCATTGAATGATGAATTTTTTGCACTGAGTTGTCCCCTTGTTTTCTGTATTACAGGACGCAGCTCCGAGTGTGTATTTCTGGGCATTGTGAGCATTTAGAAGGAAACCAGACATGTCTTTGAATGACATTAAGATGAAATCCAGTGACTTGCTGGAGCAAGAACATCTGGACAGCGGGGGCTTCGGAAAGGTGTCTCTGTGCCTGCACAGGTCCCATGGATATGTAATACTGAAAAAGGTGTACACCGGGCCCAACTGTGCTGAGTGAGTTGGAAGGAGGAGCGGGGCAACCATGAGACTCAGGGGGCCAGGCAGCCAGTGAGGTGACACGGGTCTTTGAAGCAGATATTCACTCTCATGGCAGCTTCACATCAGCTAACCCTGCAAGTGGTTATTATTATCCTGATGTCCCTGGAGATTGTGAGGCTGGTTAATGCAAAGCCCAGAGCTAGGAATGAGGGGAAGGAAAACGAGAAAGAGAAGAGCTAGAGGAGCTAACGGATGATGAGAAGAAAATGGGGTGGGAGGGTCAGGGAGACACAACTACTTGCTTCCATTCTTGGTTAGGATCAGCTCCCCTGCCAGGGAGGGGGTATGGTTTTGTGAATGAATCAAAGGATCCCACTCTTTAAGGCAGTTGGTGGAGCTGTTTCTCTTCTCTCACCCCTTTCCACCTTGGCTATATGGCTATGAAAGGGGCTGCATTTTTTTATTCTGCCCTGCAGCTCCATCTTGTTGGGGCTGTGCTGCCCTTTACTCTTAGCACTCACTCCTTGTGACTCAGCATTTCTGAGCGCACCCTGCCTGCCCCTGGAGGGGGGACACACAGAGAAGCCCTCTAAAGTGCGCCGTGTGCCGGGCACCTGTCTGCACCAAGCAGCAAAGATCTTTGTGCCCTGTGGCCACCTCGAAGGGTGTGCCGCGATTCTTGGAGGTGCGGGGTGTGGCACAGATGGGGAGAGGCCTGATGGCCCATCTGCACATGCATCTCTCTCACAGGTACAACGAGGCCCTGCTGGAGGAGGGCAAGATGATGCGCAGGCTGAGGCACAGCCGGGTGGTGGAGCTCCTGGGCGTCATCATGGAGGAGGGAAACTACTGCCTGGTCATGGAGTTCATGGAAAAGGGCAACCTGATGCACGTGCTCCAGGCGGTAGGCTGCCCACCCTTCCCCGTGTCACCTGTACTGGCTCTAGCCCTTGTTGACCACGTAGGTCACCCCCAGGTTCTTTGTGAGCGGGACAGTGTGAAAGAACACCTTTGTGGATGACTGGACACGTTGGACTTTCCAGAGTCAGGCCCCATTCCTTGACTTGCCCTCACCGTAGGGTGGACTCGCCCCCCGGTCAGTCCCTGTGGTCAGCTGTCTGTTCCCCACCACTTGCAAGGTCCCCTCCAGGTCTTAGAGTTGTGCTTGGCTCTTGTCAGCCTCTCAAGGCCCACCAACCAGACGGCGGTGCTGTCCTCGTGAGACACTTGGCCTTGTGCCGAGGTCATGGCCAAGGGGTACGCCCATCTTGGCTGACGGGTGAGGGCTGTGCGGGTTGCACTTGGATATCATGTAGGCAAATTGGAGGCTCACAGTGGAACACAAGCGGTGGCAGCCCCAGGTAAGACCTGCAATGGGACAGTATAAAACATTGGCCTAAACCAAGTGACTTTAAAGCCTTTTTTAAGTCTGCTTACCCATGAAGAGCGAGGCCTGGTGCTAGCAGCTCAGGAAGCAATAGGAACTAGGACAGAGATCGCAGTAAAGGACCGGTGTGACATGGTGGTATTTTGATGGGTGTGTCTGGTTGCTATGGGAACACGAGGAGAGACAGGCCTCCCCCGTGGGGGTGATGGGAAGGGCTTTTGTAAGGAGGGTGCTTGAGCCAAAGTCTGTGGGAGAGGTAGAGGTTCTGAGACAGAGAACCGGAGCGTAAGTGTTAGGACAGAGGCTGGTCTGTGCAGAAGAAGGAGAGCGTGGCACTATGGGGGCTACAGATGTGGGGGTTTTGGCCAAAGCAAAGGTGAGATATGCCTGCCTTTGTGGCAAACTTACCACCTTGTCCTGTGTTTCCCGACAGCTGGCCCAAGCCGCGTCAGTTCTTTTCTGTCAGACATTTCCCACAGGTCCCTGTGGGGGGTAAAAGTCACCACTGGCACATGAGGGGCTGTGATCTGCTCAGCGTGCTCCCCTCCCCAAAACTAGACAAGGTCAGATGCGTGAAGTAAGAAGGCATTTTGGTTGGGGTACATCGTTTGGGACATTAGTTGGGGCTCAGGAAGAAAGTCAGGAGGATGGATGGGGAGAAGCAGAAAGAGGGGTCTACTTGACTCACTCAGAAATGTTTCCTGCATCGGAAGGGAACACCAAGGAAGAAGGGAATCTCCTGCATTTCTGTCCGCTGCTGACCAGGCCTGCCAGGCTGTGGTTCGACTATGTCATGAGCGAGATGTGGCTTGGGGGTGGGCGTGGGACTCCAGCCCCCATCATTTAAATCTTTTTCCTGTCTACTAGCTAGCTATTGATAGATAGATAGATATATACATATATATATATATATAAATTTTAGGAAACAGTTTGTAGGGACTATACACACACAGGAGTTTATGTTATTCACTATTAAAACTAATACTTAACCACTGTAACAGAAACTGGAATTGTCTATCTTAGCATCGATGTTCATCTAACTAGAATGCAATTTAAAGTAAGAATGACCTGGAAATCTACCAGGAATCTGGTAGATTAAAGAATCTGACAGCAAATCACCAAAGATATAGTAAATTCACTTCACCATTGTGTTAACAATATCTTGTTAGCTCACAGATTTTTTTTTTTTCCCCCCCTTAGGGGAATTGGGATGTAGGCCAAATGTACAAATGTACAGCAGGTGAGAGGATTCACCAGAGACAGACTGGGGAGTAGAAGAGGCAGATTGGCTGAAATACACTGCTCAGGAGAGTTCTGCTGCGCTATGTGGGTCAGCTCCCCGCCTGGGGATTGAACTCAGGCTGCAGCAGTGATAGCGCTGAGACTTAATTAACCCCTAGGCCACCAGGAAGGCCTTCATAGATTAACTTTTATATGTTTGTAATGAGTGTGAGCCCATTCCCTGTATTTTTTCCCTAAATATTATTTCATAGTATTCACATATTTAACATATAGTAGTGCATATATAATATCATGAAGAATATTAGGTTCTATAGGCACTTATCCAGTTATTCAACACACATTCCAGGTACAATGGAATAATAATAATATGCTAAATAATAATATCACCATCATAACAATAATGATAAAAATGAAACTATATGACTTTATTCTCTAGGAGCTTAATTCTGTAGCATTTTTATATGGTACCATATTGGCATGGAAGTTTTATTTTTACACTGAGATCACACAGCATTCTTCATTTATAAAGTTGTCCTTAGCCCCTGTCCTTAGAAATCAGGGATCCTGGGATGAACTCTTGAAAGGGGAACCAACTTTACAGAGAGAGCAGTGCTGGTGGCTTCAGACCACGCCACTGTTAGTGAAGTGACCGTGTGGCCTGGTGGGTTCCCTGTCGATCTGCTGACCTCATAGGCTGCCTCTCTCTGTTTCAGATTAGCATCCCCCTTTCTGTTAAGGGGAGGGTCATCATGGAGACCATCCAGGGGATGTGCTACTTGCACAGCGAGGGGGTGATACACAAGGACCTCAAGCCGGAAAACATCCTCGTGGACAATAACTTCCACATCAAGGTAAACCAAAATCTGGAGGCTTCCAGGGGACCGGGGCACTTTCGTGCAGGTCTCCAGCAAAGTTCGTGTTTGTACTTGCGGATGGTAAAGGAAGACCTAGCGCTTGTCCCAGCAAAAGGCTTGAAGGATTGAAAAGAGGCTGACTTGATGGGGTTGATGTCTTTTACTGGTTCCTCTGCTCTCATCTGCATTTTTCTTTTTAAATCAGTTCCCTTTTGAAAGCTTTTAACTCTTTCATTGTGGTGAAGGAAAGGACAACAGATTTTCCTTCTCCTTACTTAAGAGCAAGATTTACCTGAGCCAAGCATCCAGTCTAGAGGGCTCTGACAGCAGGGTCCCAGCACGAGGCTCTGAAGGGCAGCGGCGCAGCCACTGCATCCATCTGTGCTCGAAGGTTCTCCTGCCTGCACTGATTTTGTCTGGGATGGATTTTTCCTCCCAGGTCTTTAAAGGAAGGTTTTCCTTTACACTAATAACTGATCTCTTACATTCTGGGTTAGACTCTGCGGGTGTTAGATAATCACCTGCCACTATTTATCCCCACAGTTGTGGAGTCTCAGAGACAAAAGTGCAACCATCAACTTTGATTTCTCCTGAACTATATTGTTCTCTCACTTTGCCTTGCCAGCTGCTGCTTTGCTCTGTGTCCGACTTTGGTATTTTTCTCTCTGCTTTCTTGTTGCTTTGTCTCTTCCTCCTCCTCCTGTCTTCTCTTAGGTTCAGGCTCCTAGATAGCTCCACAGTCCTTGTCCTCAGTATTTCTGTCGAATCCTTGGGAACTTGCATCCATGGACTTCTGGACATCATTTGGGAAAACAGAAGGTGTAGTATCTCATCCCCTCTGCCTTACAGATCTGCTGACAGGAAAGTATCTTCCCCCACCTCCAGCCCGAAAGGTAGCAGGAAAACATAAATGCAGAGTAAGCAAACATGATCTGTTGTTCATATTAGAAATGTCTTCCCTGGGCCTCTCTGGTGGTGCAAGGGGTTAAGCACAGCACTGTGAAGCTGTCCGCAGCCACTATAGCATGAGTTTGATCCAGGGAGCTACCCACATGGCACAGCAGACCTATCCTGACTCGCCCGCTGCTCCCCTCAGCAGTGTATTTCAGTCAGTCTGCCTGCTCTACTCCCCACTCTGTCTCTGGTGAGTCCTCTCACCCCCTACACCTCTGGCCTGTACCCCAGTTCTTGAATGCATAAATAAATAAATCTTAAAAGAAAGAAAGAAAGAAAGAAATGTCTTCCCTCCCTGCCAGCAAATTCCCTGGTTTTATTGCCTAAGAATTGAGATACCTGAAGTTCACATGGACATTTCTTAGGGGACATTTTCCGGTTGGTTGAGGAAACACCAAGTCTCTGTGAGTCTGTTGAGAAGTAGCTGTTTTAAGTTTACCCCATGCAACCATTTCTGGAAAATTCACTCCACCTCACATCTACTGGATGAGCCCCAAATTGAAAGCTTGTCGACATCACGAACCAATCCTGCTGGTTGGATTTTATTGTAGATTGCTGATCTTGGAGTCGCCTCCTTTAAGACCTGGAGCAAACTGACCAAAGAGGAGCACAACGAGCAGAAGAAACTGAACCAGAGTGCCTCTAAGACGACCGGGGGCACCCTCTGCTACATGGCCCCCGAGCACCTCAATGACGTCAACGCCAAGCCCTCAGAGAAGTCCGATGTGTACAGTTTTGCCATTGTGCTGTGGGCGATTTTTGCCAACAAGGCGCCATATGAAAGTAAGACACTGACCTAGGTGTGGAAACTGGGTATGAGTCAAAACTGTGCAGTGAAATCGGTGAAGATTGACCAGTGTTTGTTCCCATACTGTCTGCCTCAGCCACTAGGCAGTGAGTGCCACGGGGCGGGGCCCATGTCTGACTTACTCCCTGCTGCTTCCCAGCAGCCACCCACAGTACCCGACCACAGGGTGCTCAGTATGGTTCCCCTTTTAGTAATCAGGGATCCTGGAACATAAAGGAACCCAGATAAGACCTCTGAGCTTGGGAGATTGGGGGAGGCCTGTCACATTCCAGGATCCTCCCTGGACAAGGAAAAATGCTTCTGCTTAAAAGGACTTACCCACTCCCACTGCAAGACGTGCACTTCGGCTTTCTGCTTTCACTCCCTTACTCCTTTCTTTTTTTTTTTTTTTTTTAATAGAGGCATGTTTTATTTATTTATTTGTTTGTTTGTTTGTTTTTGTTTATACATGCACTGGGTACAGTCAGAAGCGCGGGAGGGTGAGAGAATTCACCAGAGCCAGAGCGGGGAGCAGAGCAGGCAGAAGGACCGAGGTACACTGCTGAGGGGAGCAGCGGGCGGCAGGAGAGGTCTGCACGCCATGTGGAACCCTCCTCTGGTGGCCGGGGAGCAGCCGGGGATCGAGCCGGCGCCGCGGAGGCCGCGGGCAGCTTCGCAACCCAGCGCTCAACCGCTGCGCCACCGGGGAAGCCCCCCTTACTCCTTTCAAGAACAGCTTCTCTTTCATAATTTCCACGGAAGGGCCTGTCTCAGTGTTGCCAGCCATTGCAGCACGAGTTTGATCCCCAGCCAGGTTGGTGACCCACTTGGCGCAGCAGACCCCTCCTGTCTCACGCGCTGTTCCCTGCAGCAGTGTATTTCAGTCAATCTGCCTGTACTGTTCCCCACTCTCTCTGGTGAATCCTCTCACTCTCCCACACCTCTGGCCTGTACCCCAGTTTTTGGATGCATAAATAAATAAAAATAAATCTTTAAGATAAATAAATAATTACCACCACGGCCACTTTCACCGGATTGGAGACTCTAAACTGGAGAGCGGCAGGGCTCACACAGCATGGTGGTGCCTACGTCGTCCTTCAGTTTCTTACATGCCCAAATTAATGGACTTTTTCTTATCCGTTCCCCCTGGCGAGTTTCAAACACTCCCCGTGGTGCAGTGCTCCTCTCCTTGCCGCTGCTGTTCAGTGGCCTGGGCCCACCTTGGCCTAGATGCCCACTTCCCCAGTAGGTCTGTCGTGTGTGCCCGGGGAACCGCCAAGGCAACAGTCACCAGACAAGCTCATCCTCTCAGTGCTCTCCTTGTAGCCCATTCTCCTCTGCTTTTCATCTACTGTGCAAAAACCGGTACTCCATTCACCTGCTGAGTCACCCCAGACTCGCCCTTGCCCCTCGTCTCCCACATCCTGTCAGACATCAACACCTGTGAGTTCCAGCAATGTGTATACGTGATTCAAGATGACCCTGAACCCACCCGCTGTCTTCTGTGTCCACCTGTCCTGGCCCCTCCATCTCTCTGCTCCAGCTCCTCCACCATCCACCATGACCGTCTCGCTCACCTGTGTAAGATCCTCCCAAGACCTCCTGCGGCCTTTAGGAGAAAATTCAGGTTCCTCATTCTGGCCCTTTAGTGGCTTTTCCTTTTCTCTCTCTTGCCTTATTCCTTCACTTTTTACCTTAGTTAATGGGCCAGTGGTACTGAACCACTTAGAATTTCTGGGATGCCACCATGATTCTAGATCCTGTGATCTGTTCAACCAGGAGTCCTCTCTGAGTCCGCCTTCCCTGTTCTTTACCTGGATAGCTCCTGCTTATTTTTCTGGACTCAACAAAGCCACCTCTGATCTTCTATAAGTGGTTTACGCTTCTGGTGTCACCTGTACTTTCTTCCTGAATAGCAGTTCTCACTGCATATTTAAGGTCACTCTTGTTCAGCTGGGCAAGACCTGTGCTCCACTTGTCTTTGTATCAAACTGGAACCTGCCATTAGCTTCCCCTGCACATCCCACTGCCTCTGCTAGGGGACAGCTTTGTGGTGAATTCCATCTTTCATCTGCAGAAACAGAAATGTAGTTAGATCTTCTCAGCCATGGAAGATGCCAGCTACTGGCTGCCTGCCACCGGTGGGGTGGGGGTTGGGTGGAGGCAGCTGTCCTTCACAGGACAACTTAGAAAGCTAGTTTAAGCAACTGTACAACTGGAACGTTGTACAGTGTCCACCTATCCTGGCCCCTCCATCTCTCTGCTCCAGCTCCTCCACCATCCACCATGACCATCTCACTCACCTGTGTAAGCCATCATGTCATATGCCATCATGTTAACAGAATGCATGAACAAGGAGTGATGGTATATTTTGTTTTTTGCAGGTTCCATTAAATGCTAGCTATACTGCAAAATTGTAGTATTTTGATTAATCACAACAGAATATGCTATGAATTATGTACTTATGAATTATGTTGATGGAAAAAACCTAAGAATATTTATTGTTGCCCTGGCTGTTATTTTTGTTTCTGCATAAACAAAAAAGAAAAATAAATACAATGTTCTAAATGAGACAGCAAAATACACCAAACATGTTGGGCTCTACATGTCTTGTAAGAGAGATATTTTACACATAGATTGAAGGAGTTGCTAGATACCCTTGATTTTAGCACGAGGTGTTCCTTTTTTTTTTTTTTTTTTTTTTAAGATTATTTACACAAGAACTGGGGTACAGGCCAGAGGCGTGGGAGGGTGAGAGGATTCACCAGAGGCAGAGCAGGGAACAGAACAGGAGCAGTGGGTGAGACAGGAGAAGTCTGTTGCACCATGTGTGTATCTCCCTGGCCGGCTGGGCATCAAGGCTGTGGACAGCTTCACAGCGCTGTGCTCAACCCACTGTGCCACCGGGGAGGCCCACAAGGTGTTCCTTTTAAAATGCTCAAATAGTCAGATTATTTGATTGAATTGCCCGCTCTACTGCAGAGCTAGCCATTCATGATACTTATTTTTGGCCCTGCAGTTAATGCTGCCATCTTAAAAAAAAATGCTCTCTTAATGTCTTTGTCAAACGTAGGTTTATTTTCACAGCACACCCCAGGCAGAAAGAGATCGTGGCGGTGGGCGAGGCTTTCCCTTCCTGCCTCCCAACCTGAGCGCGAGGCTCCACCTAACTCGAGCGCCTCATTTTCTTGGCAGATGCCATCAGCGAGCAGCAGCTGATAATCTGCATCAAGTCTGGGAACAGGCCTGACGTGGCAGTCGTCCTGGAGTTCTGCCCCCAGGAGGTCATCAACCTCATGAAGCAGTGCTGGGACACGGACCCGGCGCTGCGGCCTACCTTTGTGGGTAAGGGTGTCCCTCAGCTGCGCCGGCTGCATCCCACGTGGTGATTGACCAGAACGATATTGTCAGGAATTTGCCTTGAGTCTCTAGAAAGCTGAGCCCCACTCCACTGCAATTTCACACTCATTTTCTAAATTGCAAACATTTCGTTGAAAGGCTCCAGCCCCCTTCCCAAAGCATGGAGGCACACAAGACCCTCTTCTATCTTTCATTCCTAATGAACTTTTCAAACTGTGTAAAACACACGTAATACACGATTGCCCATGTTCCCTGTTGCCCCGTGGACAGTGCAGTGGCATTAAGTCCGCTCACAGTGTGGCACCGCCTTCGTCACCTCCTGCCTCTAAAATTTCTTCATCTTCCCAAACTGAAGCTCTGTCTGGCCCTATGAACACTAACCCCACCCTCCCTTCGCCCAGCCTCGCAGCCGCCCTACCTGCTTTCTGCCTGTGGATGCGACTGCCCTGGGTACCTCACAGAAGAGCAAGCACCCATATTTCTCCTCATGTGACTGGCTCATTTCACTCAGCAGAGTATCCTGGAGGATCAGCCATGTTGTTGCCTGTCAGAATCTCCTCCGTGTATTGCTGGCTAGTGTCCGCAGAGGCACAGACTTATATAGTCATCTGCCCGTGGACACTGGGGTTGCCTCCAAGCATCTTAGCTTCCTTCATTTCTCTCCCATGGTCTGTCAGGAATGTACTTTGTCCTCTCAATTGAGCCTGTAATAGAGGAAGGAGGAAAGGGACGTGGGTGTTTATCACATCCTGGCACTGCTGCCTGCTCCTTGGTGTCATCCAGGCTCTTAGTAAGATTCTAGAAACAGGAAAAAAGAAAATCAGGTGGAAAAAATAAACAGTAGGAAAGCATGAAGGAGCACATGGGGCATTTTGCCCTCATATTTCCATCATGGGAAAACAGAACAGAAGGCCCACTGCTGCTGCCAAAGGCGTAGCTCCTTTAGCTGCCTATCTTCTCACTTGCTCGTCACCCAGAATCTTCTCTCCACTGGGTCTCTGATACCCTTTTCACTTTCTTTAATGAAAGTCCTGATTATGAGATGATAGGAGAGTCACCTGCAGTTGTAAGAAGTAACGCAGACATATTCCAGGTGCTCTTTATTTCCCTCAGTGATGATATCTGGCTCAACTACAGTACAGCTTCATAGCCGGGATCCTGACTGGTACAGATACCTCTTTCCCCCTGAAGAAGACCTCCTCTTGCCCTTTAATAGCCACATCCACTCCTTGCCTAACCCCACTTCCTCCATCTCTGGCAACCACTAATCTGTTCTCTATTTCTATAATGTCACACCAAGAATGTTACATAAGTGGAATCATAAAATAACTTTTGGGATTGACTCTTTGTCACTCAGCATAACCCTGGTATTCATCCAGATTGGGTATATCAATAGTTATTCTTTTTCATTGCTGAGTAGTATTCCATGGTATGGTGGAACCACAGTTGGTTTATTCACTTCTCAAAGGACATCTGGTAGGTTCCTAGTTTTTTTGGCTAATAAAGCCACTGTACATATTCATATACAGAAATAAGCCCTTATTTCTCTGGAGTAAATACCCAGTAGTAGAATAGGTAGGTCATATTGTAGTTCATTTACTTCCAGTATGACTGTACTATTTTATGTGCCCACCACCAGTATATGAGTAATCCTATTTCTCTGCATCCTTGTCACCATTTGGTGTTGCTATTTTTTATTTTAGCCATTCTGATACGTAGGTAGTGATATCTCATTGTGGTTTTAATTTGCATTCTGTAATGACTAATGATGTTGACTATCTTTCTGTGTCTCTTTATGTATTTTGCCCATTTTCTAATCAGATCGCTTCTTTTTTGACTGTCAAATTTTGCATGTTCTTTAGATACTCTATCAACTACTCCTTTGTTGCAATTGTGGTTTGTAAATATTTTCTCCCAACCTGTAGCTTGGTTTTTCATCCTCTTAGCAGGATATTCCATAGAGTCAGAGTTTTATTTTGATGAAGTCTAGCTTATTAATTTTTCCTTTTATGGATTATCTTGTTCACATCAGCTCTAAGGACACTGTCAGTGTTAAGACACTAAAAATCGTCTTCAATTTTTTGCTCTAGAATTCTTAGTTTTACATTTAGATCTGTATTAGTCTGTTAAGTTCCTTTCTTTTCCCTCCTATGAAGTTGATAGACATTCAAACAGAAGAATGATAACATAGAACTACATATTTGGTTATCTTTCTTGCAGTCAATTTAGTTTCTATCCTATTGGGAAAATACCATGATCCATCTTGAAAAGTGGAAGTTGCCTTTTTCTTTTCTGCCGGGCAATTCTAACTCTTCACACTTACTGTGAGTAGCCTGTCCTGTAGTAAATCTGATGCTGGGGGGACCTCAACAAGCAGTTCACCCAGCTTCTTCCCTGAGAGCAAGCGTGCTCCATGCTGCGGCTGAACGTGCACACTCAGGCCCAGGGCTTCCAGTGTTTCCCTGTCCCGGGCTGCGGGCCTCTTGTTAGTGTCTTCTTGAATGCCAGTGACTTAATATTTAAATTTTCCTGTTACTGTTTTGTCTACAGAGTAAGGTAAATATATTATCAGACATAATAAATTTATATCTTGCTTTCATTTAAGAAAATATTTAAGAAATCTGAAGTACTGTTTTCTTCATCTAGGCATTGAAGAAGTATTTAAACCTTTTTACCTAGAGCAATTAGAAGGATTGGTAGAAGAGGATGTGAAGAGTTTAAAGGTAGGTGATTAAAACAGATGCTCAAAATCTGAACATACCAAAGCAGGGTATCATCAGTCATGAAAATCGAAGCTGTTTATTTGTGGCTGAGACTTGAGATAAGCTAGTTTGGTAGTCACATGAAACAAAGTTAGCAGTTTTATACAGACATCATCAAGTTGGCCAGCTGGACCCATTCTACTTTTCATAAAGAAAATACTGGACCTCCCTACTTTTTTCAGTGCTATCAAGCTATTGTCAGCCACTGCAGCATGAGTTCGATCCCCGGCCAAGGAGCTGCCCATATGGCATAGTAGACCTCTCCTGTCTCGCCTGCTGCTCCCCTCAGCAGTGTATTTCAGTAGATCCACCTGTTCTGTTCCCCACTCTGTCTCAGGTGAATCCTCTCACCCCTTGCACCTCTGGCCTGGACCCCAGTTTTTGTATGCATAAATAAATAAAATAAATCTTTTAAAAAAAGGAAAGAAAATACCAGCCTCCTACTACGGAGGAAGTGCTAGAGGATCTAATCTTCGGGCAGTGTGTCAAAGAAACAGCTCAGTCACATGGACACTGATGTGGACTGTCATTTGAGAACCACGTTTGTGCCAGTTATAAAAGCTGGATCCTTCTCCTCCTTCCCTATGCTAATCAACAGATGGGAGCAGCATCTGCCTGGCCTGAAGCAGTGAGTTTGGTGGGTGAGCTCAGAGCAGCCTGTCAAAGACCAATTATCAACCAGCGGAATAGGAGGAACCAAGACTTCCCCTAAATAGGCACTCAGGAAACAGGCTGCTGACGTCAGTATTACAGCAACCGGCTGGGAGGCCACAGTAGATAAAACAGGTAGCAAATGAAGATTTTAAAATCAAAAAAGATACATGCAATCGAGAATTACCAGGCTTTTGAGGGGTACCTATACTGTAAAAGTGGTCTTTAATGCAAACCACGGAAGTAGTAACAGGGTGTGGGAAAAGATAGTCACTGATACAAAAAAAAAAACCATGACAGCAATCAGGAATGTTTCGTAAGCTGAAAGGTTCAGTCAGCAGGAGATAATGATAACTTTCAATATGTCCATGCCCTTAATAACCTGACCTCAAGGGCCTCCCCAGTGGCACAAGGGGTTAAGCACAGCACTATGAACCTATCCCCAGCCTCTGCAGCATAAGTTCAATCCCCAGTCAGCCAGGGAGCTGACCCACATGGCATAGTAGACCTCTCCTGTGGAGCCCCTTTTCCCCTCAGCAGTGTTTTTCAGTTCATTTGCCTGTTCTGTTCCCCACTCTGGTGAATCCTCTCAACCCCCCGCCCCACCCCAGCACTTCTGACCTGTACCTCAGTTCTTGTATGCATAAATAAATAAATCTTTAAAAAAAATACACCTAACAAAAACTGACAAGACTTCAATGAGAAAGGACCAAATCCACAGTTATAGTTGGAGATTTTAACACAGATTTCTCTTTAATTAACCATAGACAAAAGATTATCAGTAAATTCATAGTAAATTTGAAGAACTTGGTAGTCAACATTAATATAGTTTAAATCAGTGATTAAAAACCTTCCAACAAAATATTTCATGACCTTATAGCTTCATCAGCAATTTCTGCTAAATACTCAGTGAAGCAATTATTCCAATCTTAGACACATTTATCTGGTAACAGACTAGGACACGCTCCCAAACTCATTTTATGAAACTCTTATAACCAGCCAGAAAAGGAAGATAAAAGGAAAATATCAAACCATTCTCATTGAACAGTAAAGATGCGAAAACTCTGAATAAATTATAGACCACCGGAATCCTTCGGTGAAGGACAGAGGCTACTACATCATAACCAAGTTGGGTTTATTCCAAAAATACAGAGGTAGCTTAGCTTGGAGACAGTGGGCCACTGTAATTCATTATCTTGTTAAATTATATTTTTTTAGCAGATGCAGAAAAAACAGCAGATTAAATACAATATTTATTCTAGATAAAAAAATGCTATCAAGTTTGGACAAGATGAAGAGTTCTTACTTGATAAAAGTTTCTTGAAACAGCAACAGAGCATGTGTCAGAGTTATCAATGAAATGTTATAAATTTTCCTTGAGATCATGTGAAAAGCAAGGACGCCCCATTCCCCACTGCTGGTCAGCATGAAGGAGGGGGCCTGAGCTGCTGCAGCAGAGCAAGAGAAAGGAAGAAGACTTAGAAAGGAAGGAACAAAACTCATTCTCCACAGGTGATAGGATATATATATACATAGAAAATGTGAGAGAGGCCTCCCTGGTGGCGCATGGGGTTAAGATGCAGCCTGTGAAGCTATCTGCAGCCCCTGCAGCACTAGTTTGATCCCTGGCCAGGGAGCTACCCACGTGGTGCAGCAGACCTCTGCTGTCTCCCCGCTACTCCCCTCAGCAGTGTATTTCAGTCATTCCGCCTATTCTGCTCCCCATTCTGTCTCTGGTGAACCCTCTCAACCCCTGCATCTCTGGCTTGTACCCTAGTTCTTGTATGCATAAATAAATACAAAAATCTTAAAAGAAAAAAAAAAAAAGAAAATGCCAGAGAACCCATAATGGAACTTATCTGATTATAAAATTACTATACAGAAAATCAGTTCTATCTCTTAGTGGAAAATATACTTTTTTAAAGATGCCATTTACAATAGTATAAAATAATCTATTACTAGGAATACATCTATCAAAGGAGTACCCCATGGGGAGAAGCAGACCCTTTTATGGAGAGACATTAAATAAGATCTTAATAAATGAGGGGCTACAACACTTACTTGATGTTTTGGGAGACACAGTATCATAAAGATGTCAGTTCTGGGGCCTCCCTGATGGCACAGGTGGTTGAGCGCCGCACTGTGAAGTTGGCTACAGCCTCTGCAGTGCAGGTTTGATCCCAGCCGGCCAGTGAGAATCCCACATGGCAGACCTCTCCTGTCTCGCCCTCAACAGTGTATTTCGTCAGTCTGCCTGTTCTGTTCCCCGCTCTGTCTCTGGTGAATTCTCCCACACATTTGGTCTGTACCCCGATTCTTGTATAAAAATAAATCTTTAAAAAAAAGATGTCAGTTCTTTGCCAGTAATTCATTCCCAACCAAATCCTAACTTGTAGCTATGAATTCTGGGGAGCAGGTACATGGGGAGAATGGAGCCTGACACAGTGACTCTGAAATTCCTGTGAAAAGGTAAAGAAGGGAGTAGGAATAACCCATGGTCTTGAAGAGCTGGACTAGGTGTGGGGTTGCCCTGCACCCCCCCAAGGAGGACACGCAAATTTGGGAAGTGTTGCCTATTTCAGTTGTAAATGAAATGATACAATAAGTATCTGGTATTTGCTTTAAAATAAGTATACCTGAAACAAGATTGGCCATATATTAATAGCTCTTAATGTCCCGTGATGAGTACATCCTGCTTGTGTATGTGGTTACAAATTACCATAATAGAAGGGTGGTGGTTTTTTTGCTTTTGTTTATCACAAACCTGTATACTCCCTGAAAACTCTAGGAACACTTCTAGGTCTTAATGTTCCCTTAAACTGAAATCCACTACTACAGCAGATGCAAATATCCTGCTAGGAGTCATGCCCAATCTGTGAGAAGTTTCGGGAAGAATTTGTCATAGATTCATAAAAAATCTAAGCAATAGGAAAGCAAAAGGCTATACAGTAAAGAGATAAATGATGATAAATGAATGATAAATGAATGACCCAATGTGAACAATGTTTTTATGTCATAACAGTATGAATGCTGACTCCTAAGAATACACCCAATTTTGATGTAAATAAAGTGTGATTGTGTGATTCTGCATAATTTGAGTCTTTGATAAGGAATTTGTACTTATGTATTTTATACAGTAAAAACTAAGCATCAAAAGAGTTGCTTTCATAAAAAATGACACAAAGATGTCTGTTACGGGAAATAAAAAGCAGTATCTAGCAGATTGCAAAGAATGGAAGTATCATGACCCCCGCCATTCTCCCACAGTCAGGCATATGTTCATCCAGTGAATTTTTTTAAATTAAATTGCAGGCTTTTTTAATTTATCTAATGATTTATTTATTTATACATACAGGAGCTGGGGTACAGGCCAGAGGTGCAGGTGTGAGCAGACTCACCAGAGACAGAGCAGGGAGCAAATCAGGCAGATCCACTGAAATACACTGCTGAGGGGAGCAGCGGGAGAGACAGGAGAGGTCTGCTGCACCATGTGGGTAGCTCCCTGGCCGGGTATTGAACTTGTGCTGCCGTGGCTGCCGATAGCTCCTTAGTGCTGAGACTTAACCCCTTGTGCCACCAGGGAGGCCACAGTGAATATTTTTGACCACCTACTCATGTAGTTGGCACTCTTAAGAGTAAAATGCATGTAGGACTAGGATGAACAAATGGAAGGAAATGCCAGAATGTTAAGTTTTGCCTTTGAGTAAAAGCACTCTGCATAGGTTTCTCTTTTTAGATACAATTCTCCACATTTCCATCATAAGTGTTATTACGTTCACAGGGAAAAAAATGATTAGCTTTTATTGGGGTAAAATATACATAACACAAAATTCTCCATCTTACCCATTTTTAAGAGTCCAATTAAGGACATTCATGATGTTGTGCAACCACCACCGGCACCACCATCTCCAAGATATTTTTATCTTCCCAGATGGAAACTCTGTACCAGGGAATGGCCATTCCCCTGTCCTCCCCCTGCCCCCCCCCAAACTGTTTGATGAATTTGCCTATCCTCAGTACCGATAGGCATGGGACGATGGGTGTCCTTCTGTGTCTCACGTGCTTCACTTAGCTTAATGGTTTCAAGGTTTATCATTTGGTAGCTTGTGCCAGAATTTCACTTCCCCTTTAGGGCGGGATAATATTCCAACCTTATGAGAAAAGGAAGCCATACAATGCAACACTTGCTTGAAGGGAGTATTACAACATTTTATTTGTTCATTCATTGTTGATGGATCCCAAGATTGTCTCCTCCTTTTATCTGTAATGAACAATGCTGTCAGCAACATTATCTTTTTGAGTCCCTGCTGTCAGTTCTTTGGAGTGTGGAATTGGAGTGGAATTGCTGGAGTATGTGGTCATTTTATGTCTGACATTTTGAGGAACCATCAAACTATTTCCACATAGCTGCAACAATTTACAATCCTACCAGAAACACACAAGGGCTCTAAATTCTCAGTGTTCTCACCAACCTTTCATTTCCTGGTTTTTGTTTTTTTAAAGAATACCCATTCTAATGATCATGATGCATCCCCTTAGTGGTTTGGATTTGCATTTCCCTAATGATTGACATTGTTTCTTTCCATGTGCTTATTGGCCATTTGTGTATCTTTGGAGGAATGTCTATCTTTCCATCATTTTTTAATTAGGGTGTTCGTTTGTTGATATTGAGTTATAGGGATTCTTTATATACTCTGGACATTTAGCCCATATTAGGTATATAAGATTTGCAAAAAAAAATCTATTCTGTGTGGGTTATCTTTTCACTCTCTTGATGGTGTCCTTTGTTGTGCAGATTTTAATTTTGATGTTGTCTATTTTATCTCCACTTTGTTGCCTATGCCATGAAGGTTTTTCCCCCTGTTTTCTTGTAATAGTTATATGGTTTTATCTCTTAAGCTTAGGTGTTTGATTCATTTTGGGTTAACTTTATGTTGTAAAGGAAGGATCTGACCTCATTCTTTTACAGTCTTCTCACTCTTGTCAAAATTAATCAGCCATATATACACGGAATTATTTCTGGGTTCTTCATTGGTCTGTATGTCTGACCTTAGGGCAATACCATACTGTTTTAATTACTGTCACTTTGTGGTGAGTTTTGAAATCAAAGTGTGAGCCCTTTACCTTTGCTCTTAATTTTACAGATTGTTCAAGCTATTTGGGAAACACATTTATTTATTTTTAGAGATTTACTGCTTGTAGAGCTATGTATAATTTCTACTTTATGAAATGATTCATTTATCCTGTAATAATTTTATGAAACTGACAATTGTGTATTTATGCTCTTAATTATAGAAGAAGTATCCATGTGAAAATACCATTGTGAAGAGAATGCAGTCTCTCCAGCTGGACAGTGTAGCCATACCTCCCAGCAGGTCAAATTCAGGTAACTTACACTCTGATCAAAAATTTATTTCTTCATTTATTTATTTGCTCATCCATTCACTCTTCTCACACTTTTCACAACCATATGAGAAATAGAAGACACACTATAAAAGTTAACACTTGCCTTAATGGAATTGTTACCTATTCAGGAGTCAAGAAACAATATTCGAAATATTAAGTAACCAGATATTCAACAAAATCATAAAGTATCCTGAATTTAAGAGGCCGTATATATCTGATGGGGAGAAAGTGAACAGGTCAGGAAAAGGAAGGGGAAGTATATGAAAACAAAGTCTTTGAGGATGTGAGGGTAGCTAGATCCAGAGTTTAAGCAAAGAGGGGTCCTGGACCAAGCAAGGACACTTTTTTCATTACATCATGAGCAGAGGTAAGGATATAGAATACTGACACCAATGTTAGCTGTCTGTTCTGGAGTAAGTAACTTAACCACTTGTAAACCTAATAACTGCTCCCACTTTGACAGCACTTTTAAAGAATAAAAGAACTGGGCCTCGTGGTAGCGTAGGGGTTAAGTTTCAATGCTATGATCTCTAAGGCCTGAGTTCAATCCCCGGCCAGGGAGCTGACCCACGTGGTGCAGCAGACCTCTCCTGTCTCGCCCGCTGCTCCCTTCAGCAGTATATTTCAGTACATCTACATGTTCTGCTCCCTACTCTGTCTCTAGTGAATCCTCTCACCCATCGCACCTCTGGCCTACACTTCAGTTCTATGCAAAAATTAAAAATAAAGAAAAGAACCCATGAGAATCCCATTTTCCAACCGTGACTCACATCTAGGAGACAACCACCTTCTCTGTTCCAGCACAAGACCCTTCTGTTCTTGGTAATTCTGCAGGTGACCTTTCCTGCTGCTTGTTAGCACCCCCTAGTGCACTCACTGCTTGGCAGTGACCCCCAACTCTTTTTTTTTTAAGAGATTTATTTATTTATGCATACAACAATTGGGGTATAGGCCAGAGTTGTGGGGGTGAGAGGATTCACCAGAGACAGAGTAGGGAACAGAGCAGGCAGATGTAATGAAATACACTGCTGAGGGGAGTAGCGGTGAGTCAGGAGAGGTCTGCTGCACCATGTGGTTCAGCTCCCTGGCCGGGGATCGAACTTGTGCTGCAGTGGCAGTGGATTGCTTCATAGTGCTGTGTCTTAACCCTTTGCACCACCAGGGAGGCCTGGCTCCCACTCTACCTGTGTTGCCATGGGAAGAGGGTTCTCCTCAACAATTTTCCCTTTGTTCTTCAGGTTTCCAGTATGTCACTCTGAGGTGGAGACTTATAGTAGGGGTCAGTTTTTATTTTCCTTTTTCTTATTTTGTGAAACTCAATGTTGACCATTTGTTCCCAGCCACAGAACAGCCCAATTCGCTGCACAGCTCACAAGGGCTCGGGACGGGCCCCGTGGAGGAGTCCTGGTTTGCACCCTACCCGGACCAGCAGCCGGAGGAGAACGAGCTCAGCCTGCAGAGTAAACTCCAGGAAGAAGCCAACTACCACCTTTACGGCAGCCGCATGGACAGGCAGACAAAACAGCAGCCCAGACAGAATGTGGCTTATAATAGAGAGGAGGAAAGAAGACGAAGGGTTTCCCATGACCCTTTTGCACAGCAGAAACCTCATGAGAACGCTCAGAGCCCAGGGATGATGGGGCCTACTTACCCCAGTGCAGCCGGCCGGGCAGGGCTGACCAGCCAGCTCCCATCATGTTACTGGAGCAATGGACTGTCCACCCAGCCTGGTTTTGGAGCAAGACCACTGGATCCGTTTGCAGCGAGTTCAGGAGTTTGGCAAGGGCCAAATTTTAACTACATGTTAAGCCAGCATAAACCCGCAGTGCCTGAGACCAGCACATTTGGGAACACGCCCACCATGCCCTTCAGCTCCCTGCCATGGAGAGGTAATGGATCTTTACCAGTCTCCTTCTTACCTTTTCAAAATTCTTCTGCAAGTAGAGCAGCCGCTAGCTTTATGGTTGATGATAAGGTGTGGTGGGGACAACAGGCCAGTTGTTTGGATTCCGCAGCTGCCCGCAACACTGGCTTCTGTGGCCTGGGCCCGTCTCAGGCTGGGGAGGGTTCACCACAGTCCTTGCCAACGGCAGGATCTTCCTCTCTAACCTGAGTCACAGTGGTCCCATTAGACCTGAGCTCTGATGTCAATGAAGGTGTCCCCTTACATTCTTGCAATTCCTTCCTGTTTTCAGAAGGTAAGAAGTAAGTCTTGGTTGTTTTTTTAATGATTTATTTATTTATGCATACAAGAACTGGGGTACAGGCCAGAGGTGCAGGGGGTGAGAGGACTCGCCAGAGACAGAGTGGAGAACAAAACAGACTGACTGAAATACACTGCTGAGGGGAGCAGCGGGCGAGACAGGAGAGGTCTGCTGCACCATGTGGGTAGCTTCCTGGCCGGAGATTGAACTTATGCTGCAGTGGCTGCGGACAGCTTCATAGGTTGCGTTTTAACCCCTTGCGCCACCAGCGAGGCCCCAAGTTTTGGTTATTTTTGTTTCTTACATAGGCCAAAGGCTACCATTTGCAATGAAAAGTTTTCTTTCAATTCTCATCTCTTTCAGGTTCAAGTGAAAAATAGTTAATAGTAGTTACTGGTAGTCAACAGTAGAAGGGATTTGATTTAGCATCCTGCAACCTAGTCGAATACTTCTTATAATACCACTTTATCCACATGAGTGGCGTCTATTAATGGTCTCCCCTGTGTGCCCTGAGAATCTTGAGATCAGCTCAGGTAGAGGAAGCTTTGAGAACATAGTACTCAATCATAATGTCTTTCAAAAGGCCAAAGTTTCCAAAAACTTCAATGGGAACATTCTGGATCCCTCCCCGCTCCCCCACTAAGAGGTATTATCGTAAGATATATTGGGTCAAGCATTAAACAGAATTTAAGTCATATAGAATCATACGGGTGAAAGGCTCTTTTATTTCCTTTGTGTCTAGGAATGAAATTTTTTTTAGTGTTGCCATCACATCATTTTATTTGTTCATGATTACTAAAAAAAAATTCTGAGGCAAATATACTGCACGATGCCACAAAGTTTTCCAGGCACTGGGAAGACAACAAAGGACAAACACCCTGAGTCCCTGCCCTTGTGGAGCATTTTTAAATAAATCCTAGGGCATGGAAGGCAGACCATAAAGCGTGAAGAGATTGGTCATTTTTTATACTGTCACTATATGCAAAACCCAACCACACTAGAAATCTCCCTGTGTCCCCTTCCAGTAGCTGCTTTCGCCAGTGACAAATATACTGGGATCTGTGAATTACTCCGAGTTGTAAGTGAAGGTGTCCACTTCAGGGGAGGAAGAGACTTGAATCTCTGATAAATAATGGAATTATCTGTGTTTCTACCCCTAAAGACAAGCCTACAGAGCACCAAATGGCCATAGCCACACGGTAAATAAACAAGTAGAGTTTCTCAATTTGCAAATTTAACTGATTTTGCACATTTAACTGATTCTTCCCCTTCTGTTATCGCTTTATCCTAACTCTGCATCTAATGTGGTTTTCTAATTTGCCAAGCTGTGGAGGAGTGTGTGTCTCTACCAGAAATGGCATAGTGAGAAGAAGCATTTCTTTAAAAAAAAAAAAAAAAGATTTATTTATTTATGCATACAAGAGCTGGGGTACAGAACCAAGGTGCAGGGAGTGGGGAGGGGGTGAGAGGATTCACCAGAGACAGAGTGGGGAGCAGAACAGGAGGAATGACTGAAATACGCTGCTGAGGGGAGCAGCGGGCGAGACAGGAGAGGTCTGCTGCGCCATGTGGGTAGCTCCCTGGGTGGCTGAGTATCGAACTTAGGCTGCAGAGGTTGCGGACAGCTTCATAGGTTGCATCTTAACCCCTTGCACCACCAGGGAGGCCCAAGAGAAGAAGCATTTCTTCCTGATGAAACAGCTACCAGGCCCCTTCCTTTGCATTCAGAGCGATGATTTTAAGTGAGGCCAGAAACAGAAAGCTCCTGGGAGCAAGTTGGCTGACTCCTGCGCTGGTCCCCATGGTGCCACCCACTGCCCGACTCTGTGCAGGTCACGTCTCCTCTCTGGCGTCCATTGTCCTCAGCTGAGGAAGGAAAATGCTAGAGCTGGAAGGCGGCGCATTGCCAGGTCCCTGGTGCTCCTAGTACTGCCCCCATTTCTCCATTTCACAACTATTACGGTTTTTCCTAGTGGCCAGATTTGAGCAGGCAGCCAGCCAAAAAGCACTGAGTGAGAAACACAGGCGGGGTGCAGAGCTGCCGGGTGGAACCCTAGCTGGGTCACATGCTGGCTGACTTCCCCTCTATCTGCGCAAAGACTATTGGGTGATGGAGCATCAGGCAGAGAGGTGGGGGCTGGGAAGACTGCATAGGCTCAGCTCTGGTCTGATACTCAGGGAATAAATGCACAGTCAGTGGCGGCTGCTGTGCTGGTTACCATGACAGTCATTATTGACAAAGAACATGTAGGCAAGAAAAGCCTTTAGAAGCAAAAGCTAAGCCTTAGAGCCCATCCTTACCCAGGGGTTCTTCACTGGGATTCGGGAACCTCAGTTGGGGTAGCCTCATGAACCACCTAAAATACACAGTATTTCTGTGTGTGCACATGTACATTTCTTACACCTTCTGGTAGAGAAGGCCCCTGTTTTCCTTGTCCTGCTTGAAGAACATGCCGGGAAGTGTGTGTGGTGTGGGGCCCAGGAGACTGTGGAGGTGCTGAGAGCCACACCCATCACCTCCCTCCACAGCCCTGTCTTATCTTCAGCTCACTCTCCCCTACAGATGTGCACTCTGTGTCCTTTAGTGACTGCAGTAGGACTCAACAAATTCAATTCAGCATGAATATAACCAAACTTGTACCACAGTGTCCTGGGGTTAGGATCATGCAGAATACAGGAAGGAACGAATGCAATCCCTGCTCTCTAAGGACTCGTCCGATAGAGACAAGTCACACTAACCTTCCTGGGTACAAAGCAGCCTAGGACAGAGCCGCTGTGGCTAAGAAGGCTACAGTGGAGGGTCATGGAAGAAGACAGATTTCAACCTGGGCTGTGTTAATAACCCATGAAGAGACAGGAATAGCTTGCAAAAGACACAAAGGTTATATTCATGAGTCAGTGGGAAGCCTGGTGTGACTGGAGTCTAGATTGGAGAGAAGGAGCAGGTGGTGAAAGAAAGATGAGGGAGAGGTTAGTTAGGCTGAAGCTCTGGTTGGCCTCAGGCACTGAGCTGAGAGGTCCGGTTTGACCATATTTAGGGAAAGATCCTTATCAGGTGCTTGGCTGTCAAGATGCCACTGGGAAATGTGACCAAGCCTTGTTGTTTTCTTCATCTACCTCCATTCTCTGATTTGATGGTGACCATGTGTTTGTTGTTTTTTCTCAATGGTGAGAAAATGTACCAAAATTTACCTTCTTAACCATTCAGCAGCATTAAGTTGCTGGGTGACTATCCCCACCGTCCATCTCCAGAACTTGGTCATCTCTCTACCTGAAATTCATCAGATGCTACCTCTCCACTGTCCCCCCACCTTTCAGCCTCTGTCACCAACCTCCTGTGTTCTGTGACTGTGTATTTGGTTCATCTGGGTACCCCATACAAATGGAGCCATATAGTATTTGTCCATTTGTGACCACTTATTTCACTTAGAACAATGGCCTCAATAGTAGTGTGTGTCAGGATTTTGTTTTTAATGGCTGAATAATACTCTATGATGTATATAGACCACATCTAGCTTATCTATTCATTTGTTGGTGGACACTTGGGTCGCTTTCATTTTTTGGCTATTGTGAATAATGCAGCTGTGCACAGATGCGTATGAATATCTTCGAGATGCTACTTTCAGGGTGGAGTATAAAGCAAGAGAGGTGGAATTACTGGATCATACCATAATTCTATTTTTAATTTTTTGAGGAATCCCTGTACTGTTCACCACAATGGTGGTACCATTTTACTTTCCTACCAGCTGTGTAAAGCTCAAGTGAAAGCTCAACGTTTCTGATCAATGAGTCCTTAAGAGGCATTTTTTTTTAATATTTATTTATTATTTTTTATTTTTTACATCATTGTAAGATTGATTTATTTATGCATACAAGAACTGGGGTACAGGCTAGAGGTGTCAATGGTGATCATGGTAAGAGGATTCACCAGAGACAGAGTGGGGAGCAAAACAAGTGGTTCTACTAAAATACACTGCTGAGAGGAGCAGCGGGCCATTCAGGAGAGGTCTGCTGCGCTATGTGGGTCACCTCCCTGGCTGCTTGGGGATTGAACTCGCGCTGCAGTGGTTGTGAATAGCTTCATAGGTTGCGTCTTAACCCCTTGCGCCACCAGGGAGGCTTCCATTGTTGTTGTTTTTTTTAAGATTATTTATTTACACAAGAACTGGGTGAATCACGGGATTTACACTGTTCTTGTATGAATGAATAAATAAATCTCAAGAAAAACAAATCAGGGCCTCCTGGTGACACAGCAGGTTGAGTGCAGTGCTGTGAAGCTGTTTGCAACCTCTGCAGTGCGGGTTTGATCCCGGCCAGCTGTGCTCGCTTCGGCAGCACATATACTAAAATTGATCCCGGCCAGCTGGTGAGAATCCCACATGGTGCGGCAGACCTCTCCTGTCTCACCCACTGCTCCCCTCAGCCATGTATTTTGGTCGTCTGCCGGTTTTGCTCCCCACTCTGTCTCTGGTGAATCCTCTCACCCTCCCTCACCTCTGGCCTATACCCCAGCTCTTATATAAAAATAAATAAATCTTTAAAAAAAAAATCAATATTTGCTTCACCCCTCAGGTGTAGTCCCCATAGAATTTCCTTCACCAGTGCCCCCATGCACCATCACCTCAGTCCCCTCTGCTGGGACTCCCTCCCTCTTATTCTTCTCCCTCCTCCCCTCCCCCCCCCCACAGGATGTCTCTTGTTTATAATTGTCTGTTTTTGCTTTGTTGTGTTTTGTATTGTTGTTATTTTTTTACACTGATGTCTTATTTGATTCCCCTATATTCCTCCTATAAGTGAAACCATCCGATATTTTTCTTTTTCCTTCTGACTTATTTCACTTAAAGATTTATTTATTTATGCATACAAGAACTGGGGTACAGTATCTCCACATCCTTGCTGACACTTGTCATTTTCTGTTTTGTTTTTATAGTAGTCATCCTAATGGATATGAGGTGGTTCAGTCAGTCATATTTTAAGGAAATTATCAAAGCATAGCACAGGATAAATAATATAACTGAAACATTTGAAGTCCCTACCCCCTTACCACAGTATTTTTTATCCTCTAGCTTTCACATTAGACCTGCTTACAGCTGCGTGTTTCTTTCCATGCAGATGAGACTCCCAAATGTTCCATCTACAACAGCAGTGGCATTCAGATCGGAGACCATAATTACATGGAGGTTTCTGGCATGAGCACTGCATTCCCGGACAACATGTGCATGAACTTGAACACTGAGTCAGCTTCCATGTACCAAGATATCTTTGGTAAGATGCCTCTTGGGAGCTGACCCACATGGCGCAGCATACCTCTCCTGTCTCACCCGCTGCTCCTCTCAGCAGTGTGTTTCAGTTAGTCTGCCTGTTCTGTTCCCCATTCTGTCTCTGGTGAATCCTCTCACCCCCTACACCTCCTGCCTACACCCCAGTGTTACGTTGGGCAACACACTGATAAAGAACCAGGAGTCATGGAGCAGGCTACATAATGTAGGATACTGCTGAAGAGCAAGATCCTGGCTGTTTTTACTGATAGAATAATCATACAGCATCAGTTACATGGGTTAGGAGGACAAGGAGAAAAGGATGGGCGAAACTAGGCAATGTCATCAAGGGCTTTGGGAGGGACATGAGTCTGCTGACCAGACAACTCTTTATCTGCTTGATGACCAAGTGTTGTAATTGAAACCAGACCCCAGACTCCTGGCCATGGCCCTAATCTTATCAACAAGGCATTCCATTGATCAGCTTCTGGGATCCCTTGTCATCCATTGGTCCTTGATCCCCTGGGCGTTCCCGGTAATACCTCATGATGCATACCCTTCCCAGGGTGATCAAGCTTTCTGCTCTTGATTGATTTGAAAGGCATCTTATAAAGTTTGGCTCCTATGACTGATTGACTGGTTCTGAAGGGCAGTTCTGACCTTGTATAGGAATGCAGAACTGTAGGTAACAATAATGGTGGCCAAACAGGCCACTTAAGTTTAGCAGACCCATACCCCAGTTCTTTTTTTTTTTTAATTTATTTTTTAAATTATTTTATGTATTTTTTACATCATTTTTCATTTTTGTACAATGTATGCATTTTCATCTTGGTTATAGTCCCCGTAAGATTCCCACCACCCATTCACCCATGAACTCTCACTATGGTCCCTTATGCTCTTCCCGCCATTGATTTGCTTCTACTCCCTTCTCCCCCCCCATAGTGTGTCTCTGATTTATAGCTGCTGTTGATTTTGATTTTTACTTATTATAATTTGTTTTTTTTTTCCCTGATCCCTTATTTAGATCCTCTATCCTGCTATAAGTAAGATATTCCAGTATTTTTCTTTTTCTTTCTGGCTTATTTCACTGAGCATGATCCCTTCCCGCTCCATCCTTGTTGCTGCGAATGGCATGAGTTTATTTTTTTTAATTGCTGAGTAATAGTCCATTGTGTATATATACCACATCTTCTTCATCCAGACATCTGTTTTTGGGCATTTGGGTTGTTTCGATAGCTTACCTATTGTAAATAGTGCTGCAATAAGCATGGGGTGCAGGTGCCCTTTTTTTTTTTTTTTTTTTTTTTAAAGATTTATTTATTTATTTATACAAGCACTGGGTACAGTAAGAAGCACGGGAGGGTGAGAGAATTCACCAGAGCCAGAGCAGGGAGCAGAGCAGGCAGAAGGACCGAGGTACACTGCTGAGGGGAGCAGCGGGCGGCAGGAGAGGTCTGCGCGCCATGTGGGACCCTCCTCTGGTGGCCGGGGAGCAGCCGGGGATCGAACCGGTGCTGAAGAGGCTGCAGGCAGCTTCACAACCCAGTGCTCAACCGCTGCGCCACCAGGGAGGCCCGCAGGTGCCCTTTTGAATTAATGTTTTTGTGTCCTTTGGGTAGATCCCTAGGAGTGGAATTGCTGGGTCATATGGAAGCTACATTTTTAGCAGACTGAGGAACCTCCACACAGCTTTCCATAGTGGTTGGACCAGTTTGCACTCTCACCAGCAGTGCAGGAGAGTTCCTTTTTCTCCACATCCTCACCAACATTTGTTGTTGCTAGTTTTTTTAATATGTGCCATTCTTACTGGCCATACCCCAGTTCTTGTATGCATAAATAAAAAAAATCTTTAAAAAAAATGCTTCTTAAGCACTCATTGATCAGGAACACTGAGCTTTCGCTGTACCTGAATGCATTCACAGACTGGATGGCCTGTTTCCTTGAATAAGTAAGTGGAACATGAACAGTTGGTTGAAGGGGATCATGAGTGGTACAAGTTTAATTCTGGTGATGTTTAAATAAGTGGAAAATGTGCCACTTATTTAAGGGCACATTTGCCCCACAAAGGGCAAAAACTGGTATTATAAACATGCTATAAATAGGGCCACAGGCTGAATTGTGTCGAACTGCCTCTCACATAAGCCGGGGATTCGTTCCCAAAACGACCACCTATAGCTCAGACACACATCTGTTGGGGGGAAGAGAGTTCCTGTTATAATTTACAGACAGACTCTTTTTTTTTTTAATAATAAATTTTATTTTTATATTCCCCATACAATTGCAACCCCCTTATTTTGACCCCAATCCCTCCTCTCCTGTCCCCTACCCCCATAGAGTGTCTCTGGTTCATTGTCCATAGTTCATAGTTGATTTTGAGTTTCACTTTCTTATAGTTATTCATTTTCCTGGTCCCTTATTTAAGTTTTCTAGATTCCTGCTATGAGGGAGACCATCTGGTATTTTTCTTTTTCTTTCTGGCTTATTTCGCTGAGCATGATCCCTTCCAGCGCCATCCATGTTGCTGCAAATTGCATGTGTTTATCTTTTTTGAATGCTGAGTAATATTCCATGGTATATATGTACCACATCTTCTTGATCCAGTCATCTATTTTTGGGCATTTGGGTTGTTTCCAAAGCTTAACTATTGTAAATAGTGCTGCTATAAACATAGGGGTGCAGGTGCTCTTTGGAATTGATGTTTCTGTGTCCTTTGGGTAAATACCTAGGAGTGCAATTGCTGGATCATATGGAAGCTCTATGTTTAGTAGGTCCGGAAATCTCCACACAGCTCTCCATAGTGGTTGGACCAGTTTGCACTCCCACCAACAGTGCAGGAGAGTTCCTTTTTCTCCACACCCTCGCCAACATTTGTTGTTGCTAGTTTTTTTTAATATGTGCCATTCTCACTGGTGTAAGATGGTATCTCATGGTAGTTTTGATTTGCATTTCCCTGATGACAAGTGATGTTGAACATTTTTTCATATGCCTGTTGGCCATTTGCATTTCCTCTTCAGAGAAGTTTCTTTTTAGCTCTTCTGCCCATTTTTTGACTGGATTATTTTCTTTGTTGTTGTTGAGTCTCATCAGCTCTTTGCAGATTTTTGTGATCAGTCCTTTATCATTAGTGTTGTGTGCAAAAATGTTCTCCCAGTTGGTGGGGTTTCTCTTTGTTTTGGTTATTGTCTCTTTTGCTGTGCAGAAGCTCTTTAATTTGATGTAGTCCCAGCTGTTTATCTTTGCCTTCACTATCACTGCTTTGGGTGATGTGTCTCTAAAGATGTCTTTGATGTGCATATCCTGTAGTGTTTCGCCTATATTTCCTTCTATGTATTTTATGGTTTCAGGTCTTATGTCTAGTTCTTTAATCCATTTTGAGTTGGTTTTTGTGTATGGTGTGAGGTAGTGGTCAAGCTTCATTCTTTTGCATGTAGCGACCCAATTTTCCCAGCACCATTTATTGAACAAACTTTCTTTGCTCCAATGCATAGTCTTTGCTCCTTTGTCAAAGATTAGTTGACCATAAATCTGTGGGTTTATTTCTGGATTTTCTATTCGATTCTATTGGTCTGTATGTCTGTTCTTGTTCCAATACCATGCAGTTTTGATGATTATGGCTTTGTAGTATAGTTTGAAGTCTGGGCGTGTGATGCCTCCATTCCCTTCTTTTTTTTTTTTCAGGAGAGCTTTGGCTATTCCGGGTTTTCGGTGATTCCATATGAATTTCATCAATAATTGTTCTATTTCTTTGAAGAATGACATTGAAATTTTGATTGGAATAGCATTGAATCTGTATATTGCTTTTGGTAGGATGGCCATTTTAATAATGTTTATTCTTCCAATCCATGAGCAGGGGATGTCTTTCTATTTCTTTTAACAGTGTTTTATAGTTTTCTTTGTATAGGTCCTTTACCTCTTTTGTTAGATTTATTCCCAAGTATTTGATTTTTTTTGTTTCAATAATAAAAGGGATGGTTTTTTTGATTTCTTCTTCTTCAGATTTATTGTTTGTGCACACAGACTCTTCATGGGTGAGAAGACCTACAAAATATATAGTCTAGTCAACAACTATAGAATTAAGAAGTTACCGTTTTCACTGCCTCTTGGTGCTCTTCGCTTTCCAGGGGGTCTTTGATGCTAGAATGTTCCATTGGGTTATAGCTGGATGCTGTCTTCTCTTTTCTCTTTGACAGATAATACCACTAGTGTGACTGATAAACACCTGGACCCCGTCAGGGACAAGCTGGGAAGGCACTGGAAAAAGTGTGCTCGTAAGCTGGGCTTCACTGAATCTCAGATCGATGAAATCGACCACGACTATGAGCGAGACGGACTGAGGGAAAAGGTTTACCAGATGCTCCAAAGGTGGCTCATGAGGGAAGGTAATAAGGGCGCCACCGTGGGAAAGCTGGCCTTTGCGCTCTTCCAGTCTTCCAGAATGGACCTTCTGGACCGGTTGATAAGCATCAGCCAGCGCTAACTCCAGGACGGGCTTCAGCTGTGTGAGGCAGTGTCCTCACTCAGCGGCCCACTGAGACCATGCCTCAATCATCAGGCATTCTTTTTACACTAATACGGGTTTTCTGTCTGCATAAACATCATTTCCTGCATTCCTCAATGGAGAATGGGGAAAGAAATCTATAGGAAACCACCTACAAAATAGGACAACCTATTCTTTCTTTTTTTTTTAAAGATTTTCTTACCCATGCATACAAGAACTGGTGCACAGGCCATATGCATGGTGGGTGAGAGGATCCACCAGAGACACATGGGGGAGCAAAACAGGTGGATTGACTGAAACACACTGCTGAGGGGACCAGCGGGTGAGACAGGAGAGGTCTGCTGCACCATGTGGGTAGCTCCCTGACCGGGGATCAAACTCATGCTGCAGTGCCTGCGGATAGCTTCATAGGTTGTGTCTTAACCCTTTGAGCCACCAGGGGGGCCGAGGACAACCTGTTCTTGAAGGCCTGAGACCCAGTCAAAAAAGAAACCCAATTGGATTTGGAAAGGGAAAGCAGAGAGATTTGAAGAAGACCAGTTTCTTTCCATTCATTCCATAACCTCACTTGTATTATTCACTGTTTCTCAGACTTTTTGTCTGAGTGAGGGGGAAAAAAAAATTCTGAGAATTTCAAGTCTACTTTCTTACATTGCAGTAAGAAAGTATGTTCGGAACATAGAAGAGTCAAATTCTCTGTTCTCTTCAAGTGGTATTTTTGGAGTCACAGCCCCCGGTCACCCCAAAAGGGTGACTTAAGTATCAAATGCTCTGTCAGTTGCTACAGGCTTCAGGAATTGCATGCAGTCTCAGCTCCATAAATAAATTTAAGGGACTTTAAGGAGCACTAAGAAGGGGGAAAAACGAGAGAGCAAAAATGTCCGAAGGAACCGACACAAGGAATTGCTACTAGTTATGACAACTCCCAAAATTCCTGGTGATGTTTGGGATTTTCCCTAGTGTACTTTATGCACTTTCCAACCCGTGCACTTTGAAGAGGGAGCAGGGATGCAGGGGAAGATTGATGTCTTTCCCCTCCACCCCGCACTGTGATGGGAGCCTGGGTGCTGATCACCGTGGGTTGCTTCCTCAGTTTACCCCAGGGCACTGTAGAAACTTTCTTTCTTCTGGGTGCTATGGTGTGAAAAAAGGAAAAAAAGACAGCTTCAGAAGCTGGTAATGGTGCTTAGCACCCGACCTTTCAAAGCCCATCTGTGACCCAGGAGTGAAGGAAGGACTAAGAAGGCTGGAACGTGGAGTCGCCGGGCTGTTGGCAGGCAGCCAGATCTTTGCTGGCCAGAGAGTGCAGCAGTCCGCTCAGTCCCCCAGAGTGGGAGGCAGGGGACCTCATGTTCAACCTGGATGTAGGAACAATCTTGTGGCTGGCAACAGTTGTTTCTGATTCTAAATCTCCTCCAGCAGACACACACACACACACACATACACAAAACAGGGCTGTAAAGCAGAATTTCTCAACCGTGGCCCTATTGGAATATTGGACTGGGTAATTTTCTCTCGTGGGAAGCTGTCCCGGGCATCGTAGGATGATTGGACACAGCCCTGGTGCTACATCACTCCATGCCAATAGCACTGTTACTCCTCTCGACCCCCCTCCAGCTGTGACAAAACTGCAGATCTTGCCGGGTGTTCCCTGGAAGGTCAGAATGGAGAAGAACACTGCTTTAAAGTAGTGAACCCAAGTTCTCATATCCACACTGACCTGGGCTCACCGCTCAGGTGCCAGGCAGCCCGAGACCACTTAGACTAAAGGGAAAATTGGAGGTGCTGAGGGCCCCCAAGACTTTGCCAGAAGGAGTGGGATGGTTTCTAGATGTATCATTTGTGCCTCTGTTCTAACAGTTGTTCTAAATTCCAGAGATTGTGTGCTGCTAAAAGATAAAAACAAAACATGTTGCCAAAGGACCTTTGAAAATAAAATTTTGTACTTCAAAAATAAGCCATGGAAATGGTGTGTTTGTAGAAATGAATCAGTTTGGGCTTCTCCGCTGTGTCTTTTTTTTTTTAAGATTTATTTATTTATACAAGAACTTGGGTACAGGCCAGAGGCACGGGAGGGTGAGACGATTCACCAGAGACAGAGCGGGGAGAACAGGCAGACAACCGAAACACTGCTGAGGGGAGCAGCAGGTGAGACAGGAGAGGTCTGCTGCGCCATGTGGGTATTTCCCTGGCCGCCAGGAATTGAACCTGTGCTGCAGAATCTTTAGACAGCATTACAGCACTGTGCTCAACCTGTTGCACCACTGGGGAGGCCCCATTCTCCACTGTGTCTTTATCGCGTGGGTGAGCATTTGCTGTTCCTACTCCCTTCTCGCCATTTGCTGTTGGCAGAAGAGAAGCTGATGGAAAGAAAAGGAGCTTCTGGACAGTGCCTTTTAGCTCTCGGGATGAGAACTCACTGTCCTGAGAACCCGCAGTGCTGGGGTCCTTCAAACAGGTCAGATGCTTTTCCTTCATCCCTTGATTCCCTCCCACCCCGATCCCCCCCCCCAAAAAAAATAGGCTAAAAAGTAGGCAAATTGAAACTGAGGCATTTCAATAAAAGGCCAAGCACCATAAAAACCCTAGTCTTAAACCGAAACCAATTAATAAGATGACACAGACTACATACACAGGAAAGTGATCACACTTGGTACCAAAGAAGATACCCAGATGCCAGGGTCACTTCCCAGGTAAGTGAGGCCCACACAGGGCTCCCAGCCCTGCTTGGCAGATGCCCTGCTTCTTGCTATGGTCACATATCCTGCTTTAGGTCCCTAGAGTGAAGTTAGGTCCTCAGGAGCCAAAAAAAGGAAGTGTTACTCACAAATTGTCTTTTTTAAAGAAAAGATTTATTTATGCATACCACAAGAGCTGGCGTGTAAGCCAGAGGTGTGGTGGGTGAGAGGATTCACCAGAGACAGAGTAGGGAGCAGAACAGGCAGATTGACTGAAATGCACAGCTGAGGTGAGACAGGAGAGGTCTGCAGCACCATGTGGGGCAGCTCCCTGGCCGGCCAGGGATCAAACCCGTGCTGCAGTGGCTGGTGATAGCTTGATAGCGCTGTCTTTAATGCCTGCACCACCAGGGAGGCCCCACAAAATGTCTGAAATAGTATTTTGTGTGCTATTGAAAAGTTTCTCTAATTATACTAATGTTAATGAAAGTAGGCGTTTATAGGGTTAAGGTTTTAGCAGCATCTGACTACAAGGGGATTGCTGAAGGGCTGATGCTACTAAAGTGAATTCTGCAGTAGGTACTAATCCAAATGTAGAAATCTTAAATTGAGCAGGTTTAACTTCAGCCCTCCAATCTAACTTTTGGGGTCTTTCCTGGCCTGCTTGCTAACACCTCTCAGCCTCAGTTTCCTCACCTACCGATAGGGGGCAGTAGTACATAACGTTGATGTTTGGATTAAAATAAGGTATTATGTGCCTGGTGCAAAAATAGTAATTATTGTTTTTAATTACACAGCACTGTCAGGCATGAAGAACTAGTTGTCAAGTGTGTACTTAAATTATGACAGTAAGAACCGAAAACCTCCCAGCGCTACCGTTTTTGCTTACCAGCTAGACCAGGAACTTTAACCCTCATCCTCTCTGACAGGAAATCCCAATCCCCAATGAGAACAGTGCAGTACAAGGACTTTGCATGTCCCTAACACTTTTTTTTAAAGATTTATTTATTTTATTTATACAAGCACTGGATACAGTCAGAAGCACGGGAGGGTGAGAGAATTCACCAGAGCCAGAGCAGGGAGCAGAGCAGGCAGAAGGACCGAAGTACACTGCTGAGGGGAGCAGCGGGCGGCAGGAGAGGTCTGCGCGCCATGTGGGACCCTCCTCCGGTGGCCGGGGAGCAGCCGGGGATCAAACCGGCGCTGCAGAGGCTGCGGGCAGCTTTGCAACCCAGCGCTCAACCGCTGCGCCACTGGGGAGGCCCCCTAACACTTTTTTTTAAAAAAGGATTTATGTATTTATGCTTACAAGAACTGGGGTGTAAGCCAGAGGCGTGGAGGTGGTGTGTGTGTGGGGATTCACCAGAGAGAGTGGGGAAAAGAACAGGCAGATCCACTGAAATACACTGCTGAAGGGAGCAGAGGGCAAGTCAGGAGGGGTCTGCTGCGCCATGTGGGTCACCTCCGTGGCCGGCCAGGGATGGAACTCATGCTGCATTGGCTGCTAATAGCTTGATAGCGCTGTCTTTAACCCCTGTGCCACCAGAGAGGCCCCACGGCCCTAACACTTAAAAGCACTGTGTTTTGGGGGATATTAATACTGGAAGGGTCTCTTAGAGGAGAAATAGTACAATACACAAGGAAGCTGTTATCTCCAATAATTCAAGCCAAGGCAAAACAGCAGCCATGAACCTACTGCTTATATGCAGTTAAGATGAGGCAGAATGGTAGCCAGACTTAAAAGGGCTTTTTCTCCATATCTTCACCTGCAGATGAAGAGCTGCAGCTGATAAATTTTATAAAACTTATGTGGTCTAAAGAAAGAAAATAATAATAGAGGTAAAACACGTAAAATTTACCATCTCAATCATCACTACGAGTACAGTTCAGCCGAGGCAGTACATTCACAGGTCTGGGCATCCATCACCATCATCTGTCTCCAGAACTCCTTTCATCTTGTAAAACTGAAACTCTGTCCCCATTTATGGGGAGCCATGCTACTCATGTCGTCTGACAAAAGTCCGGGCATGGGGCAGATTTCTGAAAAATCAGGAATCTTGTTAGCTGACTCCAAGATTCTCCTCATTTGCTTATGGTTAGTTTCTACCATTGCTAAAATATGCGTTTAAAAGTAAAACTGCAAATACTGATCAATCACTGAACAACCAAGTTGATGACAAATGGCACTGCATGATACAAGTATTACATTTTTCATAAAATTGGTAGTCCTCTGCCAAAAAGGCAGCAATTCAACATTTAGCTTTACATTAACCAGTGAAAAAACTTCTGGAAACAAAATGTTGTAAACATCTATCGGCCAAGTCTTTGATATAGAGATGTGGTCTCTTGAGGCAAGAGCTAATCGGAGAAAGAAATTCCTTTACTTTAAAGTTAAAGATAACAGTTGGAATGCAGAGGCGAGCCATGCTCCAAGTATAAGAAGATTCCTGATAAACCAGGCGACAGCCATAGTTGACTCCTGCTAAATTCTTCCTGTTTGTTTAGGGCTAATTCCCTTGGATGTGACAATTGGTATGATAGCTGTTAGAGTATACATTCAAGAATAAGTCAACAGCAATTTGTGACTGGTTGAGCTAGTAATCACGGCAGCACAAATAACGCACTCGGAAATGGTCAATGTTACAACTACTGATATGTCACATATTGACCATTTTTTGAGAATCAAAGGCTATAACCATCTCCGCCCCTACCCCTGATGAAATATTTGTAGTTTCTTAAAACAACAACCAGCAACCTTATGGAAGAGGAAATTGCCCCTAGATCTTAAAGTTAAATACGGAAACTAGGCTGACTAGATAGTAGAGGAGTGATAGGTAGAAAACTCTTAGTTTAGATTAGGAGACTTCCTCCCTTAATTGAGAGTTGGGGGGTAGGGAAGAGTCAGTGCGCCTTGCCTGGCATTAACGCCCTCCAGGCCCTTGGTTCCTTAATATCAAATCAATATTAAAACAATATACTATAGATGATGATTTCTATAGAAAAGCCTTCTGGTTTTTACTTTAATCAATTAGTTATATGTTAGTCTAAACTTTATAGGTTAGTTAGAAATAATCTCTTTGTCTCCCTTCCCCCAGGTAACTTCCTGCCCTTTGTTTCCCTCAGCCCTTAGTTAATTGTTCACCATGGCAAACTTAGAAATGTTAGTTGCAGACACATAGGCTTTTTTGCTAGTAATACAATAACTGTTGGATTGTAAATAACTACTTTGAAAACATTCATTTAGCAACTGTGCCTTCTTTAAGACAAAGAATAAAAAATGTTACACCTCTGCCTGAAGGCAAACAGACCCTTGGCTGCTCCTGAAAAAGAACATGTGATGATTATTACCTTTCTACCTTATGCTTGTGCACTCACGATTTGCTTAGTATAAATAAAGGACTGCTGAGACCCTCAGTAGGATGATGTCAGCACCCTGATCAAGTGTCTGCGTCTCCTCATTCCCCCGTTCCCCTCCCTTATCATTTTCTCTACAATTGCACTGACGCCTTCCCTTCCTTCAGGAACTCCTGACACCCAGAATGCTGTGGCTGGCTCGCAACACCCATTCAACACTCATTTCTCATCCCCTTTCCCTCCAGACCTTGTCAACCACTATTTCATGATTTTGACTCCTTTAGGAACTGGATAGAAGCAGGATCATGCAGTATTTGACCTTTTGTGTCTGGTGTATATCACTGAGCATAATATCCTCAAGGATCCTCCATGTTGTAGCCTGTATCAAAATTTCTCTTTTTAAAGGCTGAATACTATTCCACGGTATGGTTACATACATACATTTATACTTTGTATGTGTATATGTTTATTTATACAGTCCTCCTCTTATGGACAGTTGGGGGTTACTCCCCCCTTTTGGCTATTGAGAAGAATGCAGCTATGCATGTGGGTGTGCAAGTACCTCTAAGACCCTGGTTTCAGTTCTTTGGGGCATATGCCCAGGAGGGGAATTGCTGGCTCTTACGGTCCCTCCACATTTAATTTTTTGGGGAACCATCATACTATTTCCCATGACTGCATTTTCCACCCCCACAACAGTGCACAGCCTTCCAATTCCTCCCCATGCCTGTGGACACATTCATTTCTAGTTTTTTTGAAAACACACATCCTAATGCATACGCGACGGTATGAGGATCAGAACAATAAAACCCCTTCGTGCACACGCATTTCATCCCACCCTTGGGAGTGGGACCCCCCCTCCCCACCCTGGCAGCCGACCGGGTGAGGGCGGGAGGGTCGTCCAGGCCCGGGCCAGGGGCGGGCGGGCCAGTGCCGCCCAGGTCTCCAGAAGGCCGAGGCGACAGGGCACCTAGAAAGGGGAGAGAATCCTGCCCCAGTCCCTGGGGAGCCTGGCTCCGGGGGAGCGCGACGGGCGGGTACAGGGGCGCAGATTAGGAGCCGCGCAAGTGCGCTCGCGAGGCGGGGCTTGGGGGCCCGGGGCGGCAGCTAGGGTTCGGCGCATGCGCGCTCGCGAGGAGGCGAGAGCGCCCAGGGCGCAGGTAGGGCTCTGCGCATGCGCCCTGCGAGCTCTGGCGCGACTCGGAAACATGGCGGCGATGCTGGGGTGTCGGGCAGGTGTTCGGCTGCGGCTTCTCCTTTCGGCGCTGAAACCGGGGATTCGCGTACCCCGGCCCGAGCCCTGGGCCGCGTTCGGGTAATGGCGCCCACTCCCTTTTGGGAGCCCCGCGTCCAAGTCCGCGCGCTTGGGGGGCGGCGGGAGGGCGAGCGCCGGCCGCGGGCCTGACGGCAGCGGGTGGGGGGCGCCCCGTCCGGTCTCTCCGCGCCCTCGGGGGAGCAGTCGCGGGCGCTCGTTCCTCGTGCCTCAGACCTACCCGAGAATGGCTGTGGCCCGTTACCCCTTATAGTCATGGGTCCCGAGCCCCCGAGCCTTCTGTTTGTTCGGTGGTTTAACGTGCTGAAGAGTCTCCTGGGGAACCTAGGAAAACCCCAAACCAGAAGCCCAAAGATTCAGATGTTTTTAAGTCTGTGAAGAAGCCCAAGAACCTTTTTTCCTTTCTCACGGTATCGCACGCACTTAGACATGGAACAACAACAAACCCGGCATAGATCTCTCACCCACTTACTTGAAAATGGTTGGGTGCCCGGGCCCGCAGTAAATGTGGACAGAGCAGCAGGGAGCTTGCCTGACACTATTTGCTTCGTGCTTCCAAGCGCTGACATAATACACAAACGCTGCGAGCTTGTGCACAGCGACCTGTTGCCAGGTCACTTCATTCGTGACCAGGGAGAGGAGTCCAGTGCTACATAGACACCTACATTTGGAATTGCACTTAATTTTTTACAAAAGGTTTATTCATGCGTACAAGAACTGGGGTACAGGCCAGAGATGTGGGGGTGAGAGGATTCACCAGAGACAGAATGGGGAGCAGAACAGGCAGAGTGACTGAAATCCACTCTGAGAGGAGCAGGGGGCACCGCAGGAGAGGTCTGCTGCGCCATGTGGGTAAGCTCCTTCGAGGGGGATAGAACTCTGATAGCTTCATAGTGCTGAGACTTAATCCCTTGTGCCACCAGGGAGGCCCCCTGCACTTCATTTAAAGTGAAACTTCTCATTTGAAAACTTAATTCGGAAGGACAAAGGAAAAAAATAACCAGCTGTATATAGTGTACTTGGCTAGTTCTTGAGTTTCATATTTGATTGATGTTCTTTATTATTTTAGAAATTGTTGGAGATTTTCAGCACAACCTTGTACAGATAGAAAAATGAGTCTGTCCACAACTATTTAGTTCAGCATTCGAAAAAAGCATTTATCCAGTTTCCTATCTGGAGAAAGATGAGAAATAAGGTTACTGTGACTGTACCAATGTCAAAACAACGATATGATAGATTATGTAATGATGGTGGGCACCATCCACTTAGCAGTGCATATGGTGCTTCCTAATACCTCTGAAAAACAGGTTTCTCCAGGGATTTTGAGCTGTTGTTTAGTTGTAATTTGATAGGACTGTAACCAAGTAGTGGCTTTGGTTAGCCAGGCTGCAGCCCAGCCTGAACACACACAAGCACTCTTGCAGACTCAGTGCTTTAGATTACCCAGTGTCCGACTTCTAAAAACTTGTTTGTAAGTTTGCTTGGAACTTGCCTTTTATTTTTTTAAAGATTTATTTATTTATGCATACAAGAACTGGGGTACAGGCCAGAGATGTGCAGGGGTGAGAGGATGCACCAGAGACAGAGTGGGGAGCAGAACAGGCAGATCTACTGAAATACACTGCTGAGGGGAGCAGTAGGCGAGACAGGAGATGTTTACTGTGCCATGTGGGGTCAGCTCCCTGGCCAGACAAGGATCAAACTCTTTGGCTGGCAATAACTTCATAGTGCTGAGACTTAATCCCTTGCACCACCAAGGAGGATCTCTTGCCTCATCTTGCTCCATAATCTATTGAGTGGTTTGTCCCAAAACCATATCAAAAAAGCCTTTCCTACCTGCAGTTGTTTGTTGTATATAGTTATTAATTTGCAGACCCTAACAACCCCTGGAGAAAACAGTTTTCTGAGGTCAACCTTGGCATGCTCTGCAGAGAATCAAGAGACCCCCCCCTGCCTGCCACAGCTTCTGTCTGGCCGTCAGGGTGACTGTGGCCATAGCACCAGGAACCTGTTAGGGCCTCTGTTCAGCCTTGAGTTTACAGAAAAAAGCATGGCCTCTGGCATTCAAATGGTTTTTCTGGGACTCATGTCCTACAGAATTGTCCTGAGGATTTGGAACAGTAAGTGTAAAAGGTTTGGCACATAACTAGTAGATATAATTAGTAATGATACAAACATGAATATCCACTAAATAACAATGCATAAAGGACATAAAAAGTCACCAGCATTCATGCAGCTCCAAGCCTGGGGGCAGCTAATACTTTACAGTAGTTAATGGTTTCTTTGGAAGGACTGTACAAAAGAAAGACCTGAGCACACAAGATACAGAAATTATGTTGGACTTTGAAAGTGAACATGTATCTCCTGAAGCGACCCCCATTGTATTTCTTGGCAAAGGGCCAAAGCTCCCAAGGCACTGGCTAGGACACTGGGTGCTCATCCTGACCTTGCAAATACTGGCAATGTGACTGGAGTCAATTACCAGAACCCTTGACCTCCGACCTCCGGTTCCTTGGGGGCACAGGGAGGTCAAGTGTGGAGGGTGTCATGTGGCAAGGTGAGAATTGAGCGCTCAACAGAGCACATTATTTAATAGTTTAATAATTGTGCATAGTTTAATAATTAACTTCCATTTTGTGGTTTAGTTATTTGCCCTGAGCTGTTAAATTTTTACCTTCCTCCACAGTAAAATCTTCCTTTTTTGAGGGGAGTAGCTCAGCCCCCTCAGTCACGAACTGATTGCCATTGCATTGTCCTGACCACCTTCCCTTCCACAGACTTGCCTGTGTAACCTCCCAGAACAAAGGTGGCAGGGCCACATCTGAGGTGAGGCGGAGACTCTTCAGCTGCACGAGCCTTCTTCTTACAGACTATTTTTAAAAGAGGAATGAGATATTTCCCCTTTCCCTCCAAGAAACTTTCTCATTGTAGTTGTTCTCCACCTTGGTTATCTATTAGAATCTCTTGGGGAATTAAAAACCAACAACAAAAACCCAGATGTCTGGATTCCACCCCAGACATTTTGATTTAATGGAGTCTGGGCATCTAAAGACTTGGAAGTTTACCAGAGGACCTATATCTAAGTTTGAGGCCCTCTGATAAAGCGGAAGTCAGGAAACGCCCTCAGGGAAAGGGGCGGTGGAGCCTGTGGCTGCTGGGGAGGCTTGGGTCAGGCCTCTGCACCTGATTTTCTGTCATATATGCTGAGGTCTGACTTTCCTCTCAAAACTCCTTAATAAGTTGGAGCAAAACCGCTTTGTTCATCTCAATGACCTTATATTTATGTGCTGATAAATCGCTCAACAACAATTATTTTTAATTTATTGAGGTGGTACTGGTTTACAAGGCTTTGTATGATACAGGGAAATCGGGTCACACCTGTTCTGATATGTGTCACCTCATTCCCCGTGCATCCACAGCCCTTTACCAGTGCCACTCCTGTCCAGCCCTGCCTCCCCATCTAGTAGCCTCAGTTCTGCAGTTGTATTTCTAGGCTTTATTTTGGTTTAGTTTTGTAAGTTCCCTTATTGTATGTTCGTTTATTCCACATATGAGCACAGCCATCCAGTTTTATCTTCGTCCTGCTCAAACATCACTGAGCCTATCCCCCTCCAGCTCCAGGCATGTTGTCACAAATGGCAAGTGTTTATCTTTTTTGTAGCTGAGTAGTATTCCATGGGATATACATACCACATGTTCTTAATCCCTGCTTTGTCCTTGGGCATTTAGGTTGTTTCCATAACTTGATTTTTTTTTAATAAAACTTTTTCATCTTTGAAATTGATTTGCTTTTGATTTACTTCAAAAATCAGCTAGGCTAGGCCTGACTGAATCTATATTGTTTGTTATTTCTGCAAGAGTAGTGCTCCTCAATAGTCCTCTGTCCTGCTTCCCCAATCTGGAGGTTGAGGAATGGCGTTTGGCAGCCTTTATTAATAACCCCAATGGGTAGGCTGATGTGAGGATGTGGTGTAATGACATAGGACATTGATGGTAAAGCACCAGGGACATCTTTCACCTTAGCCTCGCTGCAGACTCCGGCACCATCCGCCTCAACCTTCTCCCTTTCTGCCCCAGGCTCCAACTATACTGAATGCTGCCTTGCTGCTTTGTTCGCACATACGTCCCTGGCTCCCAGGCCTTTGATCATGCTAGACACACCTTCTCTACTACAGTCTTCTGTCAGAACTTTCTCCATTTTGGAATTCATCTCAAACTTTTTCACTGCTCCCAGATTTCTCTGCCCAGTCTTGATAATCTTCGGTCTTAGCAGCCCTCCCTGACGTTGTGCTCCCATTGCACCAAATTAAAAAGATATTTGGAGTGGGGAACCAAAACCCAGATGCAGCAAAGTGCAGAGGGAACGTGGAGTTTTTGTACAGGACACATTTTGGAATGATTTTAACAGGAAGTCGTGGGAGCTTGGGGCTCTGGAGAGATGCAGACAGCAGCATTGCGCACTCCCCGGAATGCCTATGGACTCAGACACTGAAGAGATTGGGGGGGAGGATCCTCATGGGACAGACATCCTCACTGCACAGAATAACTTCTCCAAGCACGTCCAGGGTGCTGCAAGGGAGTCCCTCAAAAACTCGATAATGTGAGCCCAGCAAGTGTGAGTCATCTCTTCCAGGGAGCTGCCTCATTCTCATGCAGCCAACACAGGAAGTCTCCCTAACTTTGTTCCAGTTGTGTACTCTGTCCTGGGGCTACAGTGCGAACCTGTGGCTTCATCTTCTGCTAGATTGTGAGCAAAGCAGAGATGTTAGAAAACAAACATTTGCTGAGAGGAATCTTGATTCGTGTTTTTGGTCTTATCTTGCTCCTGGAGCCATCTTAACAGTAAGCATGAAACTCCAAGGACTGAGACACTAGTAGTGTGACCCTGGCTGTGTCACACTACTCCAGTGCTGGGTGGCTGCCCTGCTCCTCGTGTTTTGTACATAACAAGCTTTGGGTTGTCTCTCCCACTGCTCCCCATCGGAGTCACTTTTTTCCTAGAAAGGTTTGATTTCCTGTCCTTACCCTTTCTTTCTGCATTCTACTTTCCTCAAAATTGGTGGGTAAGATAAAACCAAAAGAGGAAATGACCTCATTTTCCCCCCAAAATTGACTAAGTACAGAGAATAAGGGTAGGGAGGACAAAAGAAAAGAGGACAAAAACAAACAGTGTTTGTTTGGAATTCATTGCCATTTTGCTTGTGCCTTGGCAGGCCACAGTGTTCCTTGTGCATGGCTCCCAGCCATCCGGGAACTGCTGGGGAGGCTGTCAGAGCTTGAAGTGGGGGCTTTACGTGTGCTCTGTTGCTGTGTAGCCCGCACGGTTGTGGTCGAACTTCTGGAAGAGTCGCAGAGCAGAAGTTACTCAGAGCAGGACACCCACACCTTTCAGTCAGGACAGACCCCAGCAGGAGCTCTGCTGAGACCCTCTCGATCCCAGCTGACCACTTAGATGCTGCATTGCAGGAGGCCGTGGGGCACAGAGGGGCGGGGCACTCCAGTTAAGGAGCTGACTCTAACAGCCAACAGAGGTATGTCAGCATTGTAAAAACCAGCAAGGCATTCCTGTCTGGAGCCCTGTGCAGCTGACTGGAGAACATAAGAAGCCATACGGCTGGTGGTCAGCCTTGGGGTCCAGGCCTCCCCGGGGACCTCGGCACTGGCTTCATCTTTGGGAATGTTGCCAGGTCTGCCCCTCTGGACCTGCCGAGCATCATCCAGCAGCTCCAGTGCCTGTAAATTTGTCACTTCCTTCCTAGACCGCAGATCTGGCCTCCTTCTGTTTGGAGGTGCTGCTGCACGGCACAGGGCCTATCCTGCAAAGGGGCCAGGGGACTTGCTAAAAGCAATGGCCACGCAAGCCACAGGCTCAGGCCCAGGGTGCCAAAGTGCAGGGTGTGTGGCCCTTGATTTTAGCAAGTCCCCTGGCACTTTTGCAGGGTGAGCCTTGAGCTAGAGCTGCAGCACCTCCAAACAGAACAAGGCCAATCTGCCGTCTAGGAAGGAAGTGACAAACCCACGTCCCTTTAAGATTTAGAAAAGTGAAGTACAAGTGAGGATAATCCAAGACGCCCGAGGAGGGCCCGTATGGACTCGCATGAAGAAGGCGGTTTGGTCGCCTCCCCTTACTGCTAACGATTCCCCGGGGGACGGGTTTTTCTCTTCCAGCACCTCAGTAACCTCCGCCAAAGTGGCCGTGAATGGCGTCCACCTGCACTATCAGCGGACTGGAGAGGGCGAGCATGCGGTCCTGTTGCTTCCTGGGATGCTGGGTCTGCAGGTTTTTGATGAAACGCTCATGCTTGTGTATGACTTGGTGCGGTCACAGTAGTAGATGCCGATGTGGATGATCAGCTTGGTGCTTCCCTGAAATGCTCTAATATTTGCTACCATCAAATTTCGATGATTTGGATCACCCTCTGTGTGTAGTCTTTGTTCCTTCAAATACCCAGTTTTGCCCACGCAAGTACACCTGGGAGTTGCCACAGTTTGGGAGGATGGCAGGTAGGAAGGGGTAGGTGATGGAGCCACCCCACTTACTTGGAATGGAGGGGTCTTTCAGCGGTAGAGGCTGGACTGGTGGCCCTGTTGTAATGGATTATATGTCCAATTAAAATAAGAGCCAGGAACAAGACTTAATTTAAAGACTTTTTGAAAACCAGAAGCAGAGTGGCACGGCTGGCTTGGAAGCAGCAGGGTCTGCAGCCCCTCCATCCGACAGCGAGGTTATGTGTAGGAAATTCAGGGGGGAATTGCCCGTGATCACAGCACATCCCCAATTTGGTTCTGTTTTTAATTTCAGTAATCCCAATATGTACATGTTGGCTTGCGATTTTTTTTGTTGGTTTGTTTTAAAAGTAAAAAGCTAAGATCTGTGATCACGTCCTGGTTCCACGGGAGTGAGCCTGTGCTCGCTGGTCGCACCCCCGTAGCTGCGGAGGCATCTTTGTTAGAGAGCGTTGAGCATCTTCTTAAGCTATTGTAATGAAGCACGACATTTACTCTAAAGGCTGATGTAGAGCTAACGTCACCCTAAGAAGCAGTGAACAGTTTACCAGCTTAGATTTCCATTATTTCTGTATTGAATTATTGAAGTGCTCCTGCTCCCAACTTCCTGCGCCCCACCCCTGCACCCACTTCCACTCTTAGGGATCGCATACTGGTGACTGTTACCTAAAATAATTTTGTTAAAGGTTCCCATGTTCTTGGCACCAGTCTTCAAACGTGCAAGCAGTGGCCGTGACCTCGTGGGTGGGCTGGGCTCCGCCACTCATGTCCACCGGCCCGAGAGCATAGTTGGGTTTGTTAACATACCCTGTTTTTTACTGTTTGTTGAAACAGACTAGTTTGATTTTTTCCCTCTACACCCCGCCCTCCCCCTCGTTTTGGTTTTTAGTTTAATTTTCTGGTGTCTGATTATAATCAGAAAATGAAGTCATCAGAGCTATGCACATTAGCTTAATAAGAAAACGTCTGGGATTTTAGAATTCTACTTGAATAACTCAGACCAAATCTCATAAATTTGTCTACAGGTATTGGGGTCACTGTCATTTGTAACAGTCATTTATAAAATACAAAAATAATAACCGAAAAGTGTGTAGTACTAGTAAGTGTACTTCTACTCAGTTCCAAAAATTCTTGTATTTACAAAACGAAGATTAAACTGAGGAAGTACCAAAAGTACTGAAATAATCCCAGACCCAGTGAAGAATCAGCCCTCTGTCCTTCTCAAAATAGCCCCTAGAGGGAGCCAAGAGACAGGTCTCCCCTCCAGTGGGCAAGGATTCCAGCCCTGTAACTGGGGTTACAGTCTGAGGTCCAGGCACTGGATAGAAAGTTATTTTGTTTTGAAATGGTAACTGTTTCTATTTTTACCATAAAATGTGTTTGAAACAGTGGAAGCATTCACTTGAGGATAACCAAATGACTGTTTTTAGGTTGTGGAGAGACTGACTTTGGGCCTCAGATTAAGAACCTAAATAAGAAGCTCTTCACAGTGGTGGCCTGGGATCCTCGAGGATATGGCCACTCCAGACCCCCCGACCGGAACTTCCCACTGGACTTTTTTGAAAGGGATGCAAAAGATGCTGTTGACTTGATGAAGGTGGGTGGGTCTCCCAGGGAAAGAACCCCGGGAGGGTGGAGGCTGGCCCTGACTGAATTTATTTATTTATTATTTATTTATTTATTTATTTATTTTAAATGATTTATTTATTTATGCATACAAGAACTGGGCTACAGGCCAGAGATGGGGCGTGGGGTGAGAGGATGCACCAGAGACAGAGTGGGGAGCAGAACAGGCAGATCTACTGAAATACACTGCTGAGGGGAGCAGTGGGCAAGTCAGGAGAGGTCTGCTGTGCCATGTGGGTTTCTCCCTGCCTGGGGATCAAACTCATGCTGCAGTGGCTGTGGCGAGCTTCATAGGTTGCGTCTTAACCCCTTGCGCCACCGGGGAGGCCCTTATTTTGTTTTTTATTTCTACAATAGTAATGCCATGAGATTCGTATGCAAAATTCAGAGTTCAGATAGTCATAAAGAAGAAAGTAGAAATAACCCCCAAATGATTTCGAGATACTGCTACCAGGCCTTTGAGGCTGCCTTTTCTGGCCAGTTTCATTACATATATAAGTATATAGTTGTGTATTGATGGCATCTGGGATTTTAAAATTCTACTTTGACTAACTTGGACCAAATGTCATAAATTTGTCTAAAGATATTAGAACTCTTTTATTTATAACAAGTATTTTTTAAAAGGAGTAAAGATACTCAGAAGTATGTAATATTGTTTATAATGTATATTTTTTTCCAACTTACTGTTTCACGAGCAGTTTGCCAAGGGGATGCTTCCAAGTCAGTAAATTTGTGTTTATCGGTCTTTAATAGGCATGTAGTGTTGCAGGGCAGAGAGTGGGGCATCCCAGAACCCTCAAACCTGCCCACTTTAAATAGGTTCTGCCATCTACCTCATCAAGATAAAACATATAAGACCTTTAATGGAAAGGAACTTTAATACAATTAGTATGTAATACAGAAAAGACAAAGAATAAGTTTTCAAATCAGCCATCCAGTTACCCATCCCCTTTTGGGTGAAAGTCCAGCCAAACAGGATTGGCCTAAAGCAAGGCCCGAAAGCCTGCCACAAGTCTAAACACCTTCCAGCGGGGACCCACAGAAAGAAGTCAGAAACAGCCAGGCAAGTTTGGGAGGAAAAGAGCAAAATGAAAATCAAGATAAAATCTGCCATTGTTAACCTCCCCATAGGTCTCTCACCCACATCTGTCTCACCCAGTCCACAACCAAAAGGCAAGCGCAGTTTCTTCATGTGTCTCTGCTCCATGCGCCTCCTCCAGGTCTCCTACTGGCTCTCCATCCTGCTTCCTTCCTCCCTAGTCTCCTCTGCAGCTTCTTCTCCCTGCTCAGCCCCCCCCTACCTTGGGTGGGGCAGGGAACCTGGAACCTCCCATTTTCCTGGGGCCCACCCTCATACAGAGGATTCCATTCTATAGATGAACTGTTTAATCACCTGTCATCTAATGGCAGAAAAACTCAATTTTTAAGCCGACTTCTGTGTGTGTGATTATAAATAGCACTACAGTGAGCCTTCTGTTGTCTGCATTTTATTTTTAAAGATTTATTTTTATTTATGCACACAAGAACTGGGATACAGGCAAGAGGTTTGGGGAGTGAGAGGATTCACCAGAGACAGAGTGGGGAGCAGAAAAGGCAGACTGACTGAAATACACTGCTGAGGGGAGCAGCAGGGAGACAAGAGAGGTCTGCTGCGCCATGTGGGTCAGCTCTCTGGCTGGGGAATGAACTCAAGCTGCAGTGGTTGGCGATAGCTTGATAGTGCTGAGACTTTAACCCCTGTGCCACCAGGGAGGCCAGAGCATTTTATTTTAGTTCTCCCCTTCTTGCCATTATAAACAATGCTGCTGTGGACGTCCCAGGTGTGTCTCTTGGTGTCCAATAGTGAGAGTACATCCATGTGGAGGGCAGGGCTGGGCTGCAGAACACACAGATGTTCATTTACAAGACTGTGCCCACCGTGCTCAGTCAGTAGGTCACCTAGACACCCACTCTTTCTTTTACTTTGCTTCCCCCAGTCACTGTCTTCTTTGTCTCACAGGTAATCTCTTCATTTTTCCCATCAAAGCCTAGGTGCTTTCCCCTGGGGCTAATACTACCCACCCACCCCACCCCGAGACACTACTCTCTTGCTGCCTCTTCCCAGTTCTTCCCGCAGCCCTGGCTTTACAGATACAGTGACTTCATTCTCCCAGCAGTCTCAGGTTTCCTGTTCTAATCTGCAGGACGTTGTGTTGTGCAAATTAGGAAGGCCTGTGTCCAGATTCAGCTCCTCTCCGTTGTTTCCAGTTTCTTGAGATTTTATCCAACCAGGTGTTGTTCCCTGTTAATTCACAAGAGCACACATACTCAGGTTTCAATAACAGTTATATTTACACCAACATTCATTGGGAGAAAGCATTGATGTCATCAAATGATAGACTCTGGGCTTTAAACATTTTTTAAGTCAGTCCCTCCTCCCAACCCCACAGCTGTGTTGATTGAGGTGGTTACTAGTTGTCTGGGTCTTGTCTGGAGGGGCCCTTTCACCAGCGTGTGCTCATCACAGACGCTGAAGTTTGACAAGATCTCCCTGTTGGGCTGGAGCGACGGCGGCATCACTGCGCTCATTGCAGCAGCCCGGTTCCCGGCCCACATCAGCAAGATGGTGATCTGGGGCGCCAACGCCTACGTGACGGATGAAGACCAGAGGATCTACCAGGGTAGGCCCCTCTGCCCCCGGCAGTGCTGCCGCGAGTGCCACCCGCTTCCTTCCCTGGCTGGCGTGTGCTGTTGTGATGTGCTCTGACAAGCCGGAGGGCACCCGCTTCTGGGCCCAGCCCCCAGTTGGGGAGAGTAATGAGTGCTTAGAGGAGCTGCACAGCTCAGCAGGCTGTTTTGAAGCTTTCTATTTCCAGAAGTGACACTTTCATGACTCAGGAAAAGCCTAAGTAAAATCAGTGTTTACGTTTCCTATGACTGATAGTGAACTTCAAGTAAGGAGGGGGTAGCTGTGAGGTGTTACTCATACCCTCGTTTAAAGCATCGGGTGTGTCTGAGGGAACATTGCATTCAAGTAGGAAACCTTGAATTTCTATTCAGAGGACTGTTGTGCTTGTCACATTTTTGAAGGTTGTCCTTTAAGCTCATCTTTGAGGTTTTTAGAGAGGTAAGAACTGGAGCCCAGACTGCAGCTGTGGACCAAATCAAACCTGCCATCCGTGCTTTAAGAACTGGCCCAAGTTGAGACTAGCTCTGAGAGTGCCCATCCCATCCCCACCTTCTCCGGTGTTGCTGCCCAGGGCCGCCACGGCCAGTACCGGTGGCCCCTGCACAGTGGGGACTATTAGCAGTTACCAGGCACGGAATCTCAGTTGGCAACTGGAGAGTTTCTTTAGCTTCCAGCAGGCTGTCCACACTGAGACTGCGGGGCTCTTGGCAGGGGAAAAGGGTGCCTCAGATCTGGGTCTCTGACCCTGGCTGTTCCCCCCACCCTTGCCCACCAGGACAGTTCCCGTACCCCATCAAGCTGGTGGCTTTTTGTTTTGTTTTTTTTTTAAAGATTTATTTATTTATGCATACAAGAGCTGAGGTGCAGGCCAGGGACGCAGGGGTGGTGGGAGTGAGAAGATTCACCAGAGACAAGAGTGGGGAACAGAACAGGCAGACTGACTGAAGTACACTGCTGAGGGGAGCAGCGGGCTAGTCAGGAGAGGTCTGCTGCACCATGTGGGTAGCTCCCTGGCCAGGGATCAAACTCATGCTGGAGTGGCTGCGGATAGCTTCAGAGTACTGCGTCTTAGGCCCTTACGCCACCAGGGATGCCCTCAGGCTGGTGGCTTTTTGTTATGAGTGTTTTTCTATTGGAGCCCAGATGACCCTCCCAAGGCAGCTAGGACCAGGTAGGAGGGACATCGCTGTCTAATCTACATAGTGTCTTTTTTTTTAAAAAAAAAGATTTATTTATTTATGTATGCATAAAATATGGTTCAGGTCAGAGGTGTCGGGGGTGAGAGGATTCACCAGAGACAGTAGGGAACAGAACAGGCAGATTGACTGAAACACTGAGGGGAATGAGGGGAGCAGTGGGCGAGACAGTATAGTGTCTTTGATTTTCCTTCTTGGCCTAAACTGTTTACACTCTGGCCTTTTATAGGAAATTCGTTCGCAAATCTACATACGAGGCCTGATACCATATATCTAGCACTTTTGCCATTTGCATGACTGAAGTATGGAATGGAAATTTTGTTGTAGAATCTTAGTTTTTGCAGCCTTTCTGATTGGTAAAGAGCTATGAAAGTTTAAATATGTCTGATACAGTTACCAGTCCCGGTTGCTGCTCCTGCCTGTCCTTTCACACGCCTCCCTGGCTCAGAGGACGTGTCTGTCCCATGCGGCATGAGCCCTCCCTCCTGTGGCCTCCGGGACCTGATGCCCGCCCGCCCTCCCTGTGGCCTGCCCTCCCTCCCTGGCTTCATTGCCTCAGCCTGCGAGGGCTTCTGTGCTTCCTCCTCTGAACAGCTGCGCCTCTCATCTGTCATGACTGCCTCACCTGTCTCTGTCCTTCCTCATGCTTCCTGAGCTTCTGCACTGTGCTGTACCTTTTGTGCTCCTGCGTCCATTCCCATCACTTCTCGCTGGGGCCTCCATCTGCTCTGAGACGCTGCTCTCGCTGAGATAACCGTAAGCTCCTGTGGGCACGGCCAGTGATTCCTTCAGCGCTGGTGGTGTCCCCTTGTTATTCTAGAAGACTGTAAGTTTGTAGAGACTGACACACTCCTCCCCTGGAGTGTGTCCTTGGTGTCTGCTCTTTCTCCTGGCCTGCCTAGCCAGAGGAGGGGCAATTCAGTGATCTTTTCAAAGAACTAGCTTTTGGTTTCATTGAATTTTTTTTTTTATTTTTAATTTCATTGTTTCTGTTCTTTAATGTTTTTTTCCTTCTGCTCTCTCTGGGTTTTGGTTGCTTTATTAAGCCCTTAATCTATTAAATAGAAGCTTAGATTTTTGATTTACACATGTCTTCTTTTCTAATACAAGCATTCAGTGTTGTAAATACCCCTAAGCACGCTTTGGCTGTGTCTTGCAAATTTTGATGTTGTATTTTCTTTCAGATATTTTCTAATGTCCCTTCTTCTTTTGCCCATGGTTATTTAGAAGTAGATTACTTAATTGCCAAATATTTGAGGTTTCCCAAATACCTTTCTGTTAAGTGGTTTCTAATTTAATTCGTAATGTTCAGGAAACACACTTTGTGTGACTTCAGTTCTTTCCAGTTTGCTCTGTGCTCCGGAACAGTCTCCCTGGGAAATGTCTCATGTGCGTGTGCATGCTGCGTAGGATGCTGCTGTCGGTGCGTGTGAATACTGAGTAGAATGCTGCTGTCGGCTGTTTGGGAATGTGCTAGGTGCAGTGGACTCCTCAGGCCTTTGGTGTACCTTCTGGTTTTTGCCAACTTGTTTTTTATTATTTTTTTTGAAGATTTATTTATGCATACAAGAGCTGGGGTACAGGCCAGAGGTGTAGGGAGTGAGAAGACCCACCAGAGACAGAGTGGGGAGCAGAACAGGCAGATCTACTGAAACACACTGCTGAGGGGAGCAGCGGGCGAGACAGGAGAGGTCTGCTGCTCCATGCAGGTAGCTCCCTGGCTGGGGAGTGAACTCGTGCTGCAGTGGCTGCGGATAGTTTCATAATGCTGAGACTTAACCCCTTGAGCCCCCAGGAAGGCCCTGTCAACTAGTTTTTTTAGTAACTGAGATAGAAAATATTAACGTTTCTGAACAGATCCTCGATTTGTCTCTGTCCTGTTAGTGTGTGCTTTGTGGTGTTTGGAGCCCCAGTGGGGGTTTGTAGCCGTTATTCCATCCGGTGTTTTTTCTGTGTCAGTGTCTTTCTCTTCTGCTTTCTGCGCCATGGGTCACTGTCACCTTCGTACTGGAGACGCGTCCTTTCCCCAGTCCTGCCTTGTGAGCTCGCCAGAGGCTGGGACTCACTTCCTCCTCTATGCCAACAGCTCTTAGCTTCATACCCTCACCGTTTACTGACTGGGCACGCTCTGCTTTCCTGCCAGCCCCGCCATTCCTGCCTCCTCATGCCCCAGTCACTATCCCTGCAAGCCGACGTAGCTTCCCACCGCCCGTCCCATGGAGATGGTTCCTGTCTGTTACCCAGGCCATCGTACCCCTGCTGCCTGTTTGCTCGGGGTCATGCTGTGTCTTTGAGGGTGCGTGCAGGAGCGGTGACATCACTCCTACCCTCTCCTTGAAGACAGCCCCTGTCATGAAGTTCTCGGCACCATCTTTCAATTTTCCTCTCTTATTTTGGTCTTGTCTGGGGTGTACCCACTGGTCCCTGCCGGGCTCTGAGATGTGAGCTCCCAGATGCCGCCGGCATTCTGCTCCCTCTTGCCTGTAGTCATGCCTTGGCTTCCCTAACTCCCAAGTCCCAGATATCCCACTTTTTATTTGGCTTTCTTTTTTTTTTTTTTTTTTAAGATTTATTTATGCATACCATAACCAGGTACAGGGCAGATGTGCGGGAGGGTGAAAGGATTCGCCAGAGACAGAGCAGGGACCAGAACAGGCAGACTTGCTGAAATACACTGCTGAGGGGAGCAGCGGGCGAGACAGGAGAGGTCTGCTGTGCCAAGTGGGTATCTCCTGGCCGGCCGGCATAGAACCCGTGCTGTGGAGGCTGCGGACAGCTTCACAGCACTGAGCTCAACCCCCTGCGCCACCAGGGAGGCCCTGTTTGGCTTTCTTACAGACTGTCCCCCCACCACCTTACGTCTAGTATATCTACACAAACTCATGTTCTTCCCTCTAGATCAGTTTTTTACCATGGTGAAGAGACTACTTTTCCCACAAAGTAATATTTCTAACAACTATTCATCGAGTGCCTGCAGTGGCTAATGTTTTTACCTATAACACGTCCCTGTAAGGTCACCATTACTCAGCCTGTTTTTCAGATGATGAAACTAGGGCTCAAAGAGCCTGTCACAGTGGCACAGCAGGGAGGGGGCGTGCCCCCTGTGACTCCACTCTGCAGTCAGCCGGCCCCCAGCTTCCTTGCCACTCCTGCTAGAGCCACTCAGAGGGCTTGGCACCTCCTAGCCGGCTCCCTGTCTCTCCCTTCTGCCAGTCAGCTTCCCTCTGCTCTGGTAGATGCAAGTCACCTTAGATCTTATTTAAAAATCCTGCAGGTCTCCCATAGTTTTCCAGATAAGATAAGCTCAAACTCCTCCATTCTGCACAGAGTCTGAGTGACCAGGGCCATCTGCCTTCCCAGGACACCCCCCAGCACTTTGGCCTACCCCCACAGACCATCCCGTACTTCAGCCACCTGAGAACCCCGCAGTTCTGGCACACAGTAGCTGTTCACTGCCTTTGGGCCCCTCCTCGCCTCCTGTTCCTGCTCGTGTTGGCCTGCTGGCGTCTGTCCTCCCCCCCATGGGCCAGGGGCACGTCCTCTAGGAAGCCACGCACCCCTGCATCCCTGAAGCTCACGGCCGCTCCTCAGCCCTCCCTCAGCCTCTCCCAGGGCACTGCTGCCCTCGGCCGCTGCGGTCATTGATGAGGCCCCGAGGACCAAGACAGCTCATTCCAGTTTGTGCATGCTGTGACTAACTCATGGGCTCTTCAAATTAGTCATTCATTCATTCATTAATGATGAGTGAATGAGTTTTCTTCACTCTGGTTCCAGTGCTTAGCAAAAGTTATATACTCAAAAAAACAAATGTGTCAGTTTCTTGTCGCATAGAAATTCATTCCATTTTGGATCAGCATTTTGGTTCAAATGCTTATTTGAAGAACTTAACTATGGAACCTGATTACTACTTATTTTTTAGTGGAAATTATGCTTTGGGGTAAAACTGGCTTCCTTTTGATAATAATTAACAGAAGGAAGTACATAAATACGTAAATGTTTTCAGGGAAGACCTAGGACCCAGACTGGAGGGAGGGAGCCCTGGGCAGGAAGCAGGAGGACAAAGCCGGAGTGTTCACAGTGATCGCCCTGTTCTGGATGGTTCCTGGCATTGCGATTTGTGGTTAGCACTTCTCATGTTACTCTTTACTTCTCTCAGAGTGTTATTATAACTCAATTCTCAGTGTGGATACAGAGAGACTAAGGAGCCCGCTCAGGGTCACAGAGTGAGCAGGCTCGTTGGGGTCAGACCCCCTGGCTGCCCCCGGTGTCCTCGGTCGCAGTGCTAGGTGTGGAGTGTGGCTGCCCCTCGAGGCTCAGCTAAGACTGCCTGTGGGATCCTACGGTTTCACTCCAGAATTTACACTCCCATCCCCATGCACATCTCTCCACATGGCTGCTTCTACTGTGTTAATTTGTGCCGTAGCTCTCATGCTGTCCCGAGAGGAGGCATTTATATTTTAGCAAGAAAAATATCTCTAACATCAGCCAACTTATTTTTTGAAAGTTCATCTTCCTGTCAGAGACTCTTAAAATTTCATACAAATGTATATAGTTTTATAAATAAATTCAAATATTTACATCATATATGTTAAATCTATTAGCTAAACATGTCTATATTAAATACAAACATAAATATGTCATAAATATACAAGTTGACTTTAAGTATGTTATATTTCTGTTATATGTTATATAGTTTATGACATTATAGTTTTGACTTGTTTATAATTCATTTTTTTCAATTTATTATGTTATACTTAAACTTTTATTAAATTATATAGTATTTGAGATCTATGATGTGACTCATGGGACCGGTACAAATCGCAATGCCAGGAACCATCCAGAACAGGGCGATCACTGTGAATACCCTGGCTTTGTCCTGCTTCCTGCCCAGGGCTTCCTCCCTCCAGTCTGGGTCCTAGGTCTTCCCTGTGCCTCTTGGAGAACACTTCAGTCTCACAAGGTCATGGTCCTAAATGATGGACAATGTGGTTTTGGCTTTGGGCTGTGAGGAGACTTCACCCTGCAGGTCAGCCTTCCCGATGCGCTGTTCTCCCCGAGCAGTGCATCTCTGGCTTCCACCGTGACCCCGCCAAGTCACATTCCCTCAGGCAAATCCATCAGGTTTTCTCTTCCCTTTCTTTTACCAGTAGGCAGTAGCTGTGTTTCCAGTGCAGCTGTGAACATTCTTGTGCAGTGCGGGTCCTCCCTCTGGGGCGGGTGAGCAAGTGCTTTCCGGGGCTCACGCCCCACGGTGAGCGCCGCCGCCCGCAGGACAGATGTGCACGTCCTGGAGCGGCTGAGAGCTCCCTGGGTCGAAACTGCCAGCGTCGGACTTCTTAATCCTAGTCAGTCAGATGGGTGTGAGTTGAGATCTTATTGGGGGGGGGGTCTTAGTTTACATTTTTCTACTAGTGTTGAGAGTCTTTATATGTGTCTATGCGCCACTGGCATTTCTTCTGTATTATCCTCATTTTATGTCTTTTCGTTTCTGTTTATTCATTTAAAATTTTTATTATCTAATATTTGATGCGTGTTATACAGGGTGTTTAACAGCGCCTTATAAAGTGTCACCACAGAACGCACAGCCAGGGTCTCTGCACCCAACTCCAGACTAGAACACATCAGTGTTATTGCAGCGTTAGTGAGGTGCAGGGCTTTTTTAAAATTTTAAAATTTATTTATTTAGTTAGTTATTTTTTAAGATCTATTCATTTATACAAGAACCAGGGTACAGGCCGGATGTGCGGGAGGGTGAGAGGACTCACCAGAGAGAGTGGAGAACAGAACAGGCAGACTGACTGAAACACACTGCTGAGGGGAGCAGCGGGAGAGACAGGAGAGGTCTGCTCACAGTGTGGGTTGCTCTGCAGCTGGCAGGGATTGAACCCGCATGGCAGAGGCGGCGGACAGCTTCACAGTGCTGCGCTCAACCGCCTGCGCCACCAGGGAGGCCCTGGTTATCTTTTTCTAAGGACAGAACTTTTGGTTTTTGTTTAAGGAAAGGTTGCAGTGGTTTTTTTTTTTCCCCCTCATTAACCTGGTGAATTTTGTTTGGTTTTACATTTACCAGCAAGTTTGTCAGTTTCCTTACTCACCTTTTTCTTTCATCTCAGATGCTCCTTCTGAGATCACATCTTTTTCCTGAAGTCATTCCTGACAGATTCTTTCAGGGCAGCTCTGTCAGTGGTCAACTCAGTTTTTACTTAAAAATGACTTTGTTTCACCCTCACTCTTGAAAGATTATCAGCTAAGAACAGAAATACAAGTGGAAAATTATTTTCTTGAGTACCCACTGTCTTCTGCCCTCCACGATTGCCCTGACAAGGTCCGTCAGCCTCACGTTCTTTCTTTGGGGTGATACATTTACCTCTGCCTGTCTTTCAGAGTTTCTCCTTCTAATCGATTGCTATCTTCTTATTCTGTGTCTAAGTGCAGTTTTCTTTTTACTTAATCCTGTTTGGATTCCTCTTGATTTTGTCTGAGGATCTTTTCTCAGTCCTGGGGAGCATCCTTGCCTGTTGATTTCTTCAAACACCACTGACGCCTGCGCCACGCTCCTTCTTGTGGTGCTGATTGAGTTTAGAGGCTTGTCTTTCCGCTGTTCCCACTGTTCGTTCATCTTGTGTATCTGTGTGGCATGCTGCGTAATTTCTTAAGCTTTCTCTACTAATTTTCTGTTTGGTTTTTTTTACTAGCTGTATTAAGATTCTGACTGTTTTGTGACCTTTGATCAGGAGTGATTACTTGCTTACTCTAAATCTGAAAACAAACAGGACAGTGAGCATAAACTGAGAATGTTCGCCTTCACAGCGGGTTTACATTGGCTTCTCTTGGGAACTGCAGACTCACCTGAGGTTGGAGCCATTTTTATTTCTACTTGACCCGTCAATCTCAGGTTCAACCCTACCCCACCAACTGGTAGCTTCATTTCCCTCCCAGCACAGCCCTTCCTTTTGAGTAGTCTCACCACTCTGCTCTATTTTCAGGATTCTCTTTCTCTTACACACACACACACACACACACACACACACACAATTAAGAAAGCTCTAGTTCTTCTGCTGCAAGAGGACCTTTTAGTAGGTGGGGTCTACTATCCACCAGGTAGAAATATCTCCAGAGGATTTTCTACTGGTCATCTTCGTGCCATCTTGCTGACTTCTCCCTCCCTCCCCCACCGCTTAACTTCTTCCCAAATCACTTGGCCGGCTTCTCTCATTCCTGTGCAGAGAGGCTCTGCCCTCCTCAGCCTCAGTGTTTACCTCGGGGCTGGGCTTCCTCTGCAGGCCTGGGCCAACCCGCAGGAGGAAAGGCAGGCACAGTCAGAATGGGATCTGCCTCCCTGGAAGGCAGTTGCCGCTGTGAATAGCATTTTTTCTCCATTTAGTCGCTTCCACTCACTAAGCCTGTGTTGAGTGCCCGCCAGTGCCTTGTGCCATCCCAGCGCCATATGTATAGGTTGTTGTTTGATGTGAGTTCCTATCTCCTGTGTCCCCTTTCCTATAAAGTGTCTCAGCAGTAGAAGCTCTCCACAAGCCATACTTAATGTGCACAGGAGCCCTGGAGTCTTTAAATGATCCAAGTGCTTAAAGAAATATGGAAAACATTGGGTCAAGCAGTTACATTTGTTTATGCATTTTTTGCATACAAGAACTGGGGTGTAGGCCAGAGCTGGGGGTGAGAGGATTCACCAGAGACAGAGTGGGGAGCAGAATAGGCAGATTGACTGAAATACACTGCTGAGGGGAGCAGCAGGGAGACAGGAGATGTCTGCTGTGCCATGTGGGTCAACTCCCTGGCCAGGGAGCAAACTCATGCTGCAGTGGCTGGCAATAGCTTGATAGTGCTGAGACTTTAACCCCTGCACCATTAGTGAGGCCCTTGTTTATGCATTTTAAAGGTGATATTTTGCAGTGATTTCCTTTCCTAATCCTGAAGCATCTATAATATAGTTTGAAGTTAGTAGTTAGTCTTTAACACACGTATTTCTTCATTAGCAGATATTAGAATGAATAATTTGTGTGCATCTCTCAATGGAGATGCCATTCAGAAAAGACTCCACTTTTATAAATAATGTCACTCGGGCCTCCCCGGTGGCGCAGCAGTTGAATGCTGGGTTGCGAAGCTGCCCGCAGCCTCTGCAGCGCCGGTTCAATTCCCGGCCACCGGGTGAGGGTCCTACATGGCGCGACAGACCTCTCCTGCCGCCCGCTGCTCCCCTCAGCAGTGTACTTCGGTCCTTCTGCCTGCTCTGCTCCCCGCTCTGGCTCTGGTGAATTCTCTCACCCTCCCACGCTTCTGACTGTACCCAGTGCATGTATAAATAAATAAATCTTTAAAAAAAAAATGTCACTCTCACTCAGCTGGTCCTAGCTAGAGGAATATCGTCTTGTCTTTGATCCCTTTAGCAGAATGATTAGCTACAGAACTAGTTTTATCCCCTTGGTAAGAATTTATTACATGCCAGGCGTGTTCTGGATCTTGGGGATATAGTGGAAAACCAAATAGAGCAAAGTCCCTCATATGGGGGTTTACGTCCTAGTGGGGACACAGCTGCTTAGCCATGGACACCGAAGTCATTGAAAAGTAGAGGTGAGTGCTACGTAGAGGAAACGGGGTTGGTGAGGGAAGGCTTTTGGGCCTGGATGAAGGGAGGAGCACGCCTAGTGGAGACCCAGGAGCCTGACAGGACAGAGGCCGTGGCCATGATGCCTCTGCCGCACTGCGCTCGGAAGCTATGTAAAGATAAACCTTATGAGATAAAACTTACTCCTGCCCGCTTCTATCTTTCAGGTATCCGAGATGTTTCCAAGTGGAGTGAGAAAACAAGAAAGCCGCTGGAAGCCCTGTATGGGTTTGACTACTTGGCCAAAACCTGTGAGAAGTGGGTGGATGGCATAGGACAGTTTAAGCACCTCCCAGATGGTAGGTCTCAGGAACGGTCAGATGTGTCCTTGGCTGTTAGAGGGGGTGCTTGAGTTCCCCCGATGCTGCAGAGCCCTTGGTGTTAGTGCGCTCACCCACTGCCCTCACGCTGCTGTGTGGGCCCGGGTGCTCATGTCACACGGAGTTGTGGAATGGATATGCCTTAACCTGCAGACTGACGTGTGGAGGCTTCGTCGTCGTGTCTATCACAGCTGACTGTTTCCTTTTTGTCTAACCCTTTGTGTATGTCATGACAAAATAATTCTCCTGAAGCCTCAAAGAGGCTGCCAGAATGGGAAATCAGGGAGAAAATGGAAATTAGGAGAAAACGACCTGCAACATAATACCACATACTTCCCTTTTCCAATGCAGTGGTGTTACTCTGGCACCTCCTGTTATTAGGACAGAAAGAAGGGGCTCTTTGTTGGGACCTCCAGGCCCAGTAGGATAACTCATGGAAGGGGTGTTGCTCCTGTGAGGTGCCTTCCCGCCCTCAGGGCTGTGTCCTGTGGCCTCAGCCATAGCAGATACCTCCTTATATTTACCTGAAACATTAATCCAATTTCCAATAACAAGAAGAATTGGCATCTTGAAGAGAAATTCTGAGTTAAAGTCTACTTTTATTGCAATTTTATAATTACAATAGTTTTTTTTTTTTAATTTCCAAAAGCATGGATAGTATTTATGATCTAATCTTATAGCACCTTCAATTATGAAATGGTTGTGATTGAAGGACCAGCTTGATCTATTCAGTGATCGTTTCTGGAGTGAGTCATCTGTCAAAACTTTCACAATGGAAAGGACATTTGGAAATGTTACTATTTTGGTTTAAGTTCAAAACCGCAAATATATCCTGTTCAAATGCAGCACCCACCCAAAGAAACAGGTTCTTGAAGTGTGTTTCCCTCAGCTCTTAATACCCAAAAAAAAAACCAAAACAACAAACAAACATGCTATAAAACCAGATCTGAGATGGTTCTCCACTGAATAAGGCAAATGTGTAGCCTGTAACCCTTCATGTTTTTTGCAGAGTTAAAAAGGTAGAAAGATTCAAAGGTAGAAGCAGAATTAACCCAGCAGTTCATAAATATGTCCTGTGTTTATTAAAATTCAAAACTTCTTTTTTTTTTTTTTTTAATAGAGGCATGTTTTTTTTTTTTTTTTTTTTTTTTATTTATTTACTTGTTTTGTTTATACATGCACTGGGTACAGTCAGAAACGCGGGAGGGTGAGAGAACTCACCAGAGCCAGAGCGGGGAGCAGAGCAGGCAGAAGGACCGAAGTACACTGCTGAGGGGAGCAGCGGGCGGCAGGAGAGGTCTGCGCGCCATGTGGGACCCTCCTCTGGTGGCCGGGAAGCAGCCGGGGATCGAACCGGCGCTGCAGAGGCTGCGGGCAGCTTCGCAACCCAGCGCTCAACCGCTGCGCCACCAGGGAGGCCCAAAATTCAAAACTTCTGCTTTGTGAGATACTGTCAGGAAAATAGAAAGTCACAGACCTGGAGGAAATACTGCAAAACCATATCTGATAAAGGATCGTGGTCCAAATACAGGAAGAACTCTCAAAACCGGACAATGAGAAAGCAAACTAATTAAAATGGGCCAGATAACAACACCCCACTCTGCACCCTTCCAATGGCCGAAACAGGAATCCTAAGCAGGGAAGCTGTGATCCTCGAATGGTGGACGTGCCTCATTACACCTCTGCCTACCCAGTCAAAGGAGTGAGGACGCCTACCCTGAGGGTGAGCCCAGTGGTAGCTGTGGGCTCCGGTGTCCTTGTGGGTTCACCAGTTGTAAAAATGTACCACCTTTGGGGGAACATTGAGGCTGTGTTTGTGGGTGCAGGGGGGTACGTGGGAAATCACTCTTTCCTCTCAGTTTTTCTGTAAACCCAAAACTCATTTAAAAATGTATTTTAGAAAGAGACAGTGAAGGGGCCGGAGTGACCCGGTGCGGCGCAGCAGGCCTGCTGGTGAGTTGGTGTCCTCCCGCTGGGACTGCCACACGCACCAGGGCCCTTTCTTTCCTGGCCACACACTCGGCTCCAGTGCTTAGTGCAGCCCTGGGGCTTGTGGTACCTCTTTGGTGTCAGGTGGGCCTGGATGAGTCTTGGCCCAGCCCTATGGCGGGTGCTTGGCTTCTCAGAGCTGCCGCTTCCTGTCTATGCACTGGAGGTGCTCAAACTGCCTCCCACAGTTGTGTGGAGTAAGCAAGGTTACGTGTGTTCAGCCCTAGCCCGGTACCAGGTACAGAGCAAGCAATAGTCACTGATAAAATGTGGTTCTTGATTAGTAGTAGTAGTACCAATTAGTAGCATTATTAGGCTGTTGTTACTGTTATAAAAGTCCTTGATTCACAGGTCAGTGCCCATTCTGAGTGGGTCAAACCATGTTCCCACTCTAAGACTCCACAGGGCTCCAGTCCTTTGAACAGCTCTTGACCCAGAGTGGGCGCCTGGGAGTCCTAGTGTTACCTCCCGATGACCCAGTTGGCAGGTGTGTGTCCCGGCTTGGCCTCCTCTTCAGCAGGCAGCAGCCCCACCTGGAGAGGAAGGGAGAAACCATTGCCTGGACAGCACCCGTGGCTGCCTCCCAGCTTTCCAGAGCTGTTCTTCCTAACACAGGCAGAAGGCTGTGGGAGTGGGGGAACTGCCATGGCTGTAGCTGCAGCTGCTGACACAGCTATGGTGTCTCTTCTCAGCCTGGCGCCCTCCACAGGGACTCTGCTTACCCCTTTGGCTGAGGCGGAGGCAAAAGCTGAGAGCGCCCCAGATGCCACCAGGTTCACAGGCAGGGGAGGGCAGGAGCCGGGTCCCAGGTTGCGCCGTATTTGCCTTACAAGTGTTGCTGTAAGTGGGTGAGGGCCTTGGAGCCTCGAAAAAGTGAGTCAGTCTGTAGATCTTTGTGATTGATTAGTCCCTTAGTGGTTGTATTATGTGCAGAAATTTTCTCCCAATCAGTGGGGTGTCTCTTTGTTTTGGTTAATGTCTCTTTTGCTCTACAGAAGCTTTTAGTTTGATGTAATCCCAAGTGTTTATCTTTTCCTTAACTTTCTTTGCTTTGGTTGATGAGTCTTTAAAGATGTTACTGAGATGTATGTCATATAGTGTTTTAAAAGAGCTCACAGGACTCAACAATAACAAAGTAAACAATCCAATAACAAAGTAAACAATCCAAACAATAACAAAGTAAACAGTCAAAAAATGGGCAGAAGCGGGCCGCCCCTGGTGGTGCAGGCGGCTGAGTGCCACACTGTGAAGCTATCTGCAGCCTCTGCAGTGCTGGTTCGATCCCGGCCGCCCGGTTTGATCCCAGCCGGCCGGTCAGGGTCCCACATGGCATAGCAGACCTCTCCTGTCGCGCCTGCTGCTCCCCTCCGCAGTGTATTTCATAAGTCCGCCTGTTCTGCTCCCCGCTCTGTCTCTGGTGAATCCTTTCACCCTCCCGCACATCTGACCTGTACCCTGGTTCTTGTATAAATAAATAAATAAATAAATAAATAAATAAATAAATAAATAAATAAATAAATAAATCCTCAAAAAAAAAAAAGGGCAGAAGTGCTAAAAAGACACTTCTCTAAAGAGGAGATGCAAATGGTCAACAGGTATATGAAAAAGTGCTCAACATCACTTACAGTCAGGGAAATGCAACTCAAAAGCACAATGAGACACCAGTGAGAATGGCACATATTTTAAAAAAAAACAGGCAGCAGCAAATATTGGCGAGGATGTGGAGTAAAAGGAACTCTCCTGCACTGCTGGTGGGAGTGCAGCCTGGTCCAACCACTATGGAAAGCTGTGTGAAGGTTCCTCAAACTACTAAAAATGGAGCTTCCATATGACCCAGCAATTCAACTAGGAGTCTACCCAAAGGACACAAAAGCATTAATTCGAAAAGATACCTGCAATAGGTAAGATATGGAAACAACCAAGACTCCCAAAAATAGATGACAGGATCAAGATGATGTGGTCTGTTTACACAATGGAATACTATTCAGTGATCAAAGAAGATAAACTCATGCCATTTGCAGCAACATGGATAAAGCTAGAAGGGGTCATGCTCAGTGAAATAAGTCAGAAGGAAAAAGAAAAGTATCAGATGGTTTCACTTATAAGAGGAATATAGGGAGCCAAATAAGGGATCAAGAAAAGAAACATAAAAACAAAACTATAGGCAACTGTAAATCAGAGACCTTCTGCAAGGGAGGGAGAGGGAGAGGGATAAAAGCTGGGGAGGAAAGAGCACGAGGGACTGTGGTGATGGTTCGTGGTGAATTGGTGGTGGGAATTTTACGGGGACTACACCTGAGGAGAAAGCATACAAGCATACATTAGACAAAAATGAACAATGATGTAAAATATTATAAATTTAAAAAAAAAGTGAGTGTGGTGGAGACAGGAGGGACCAAGAACAACTTACTTACCTGATGAGGCATGTAAGCTTTACCAGGAGACATTATTTCACGGTAAAGACGTCTCCGGCGCCAAGCCTCTTCCATAATTTTGCAAGCTGGGAACGGTCCCTCTGTAGTATTAGGAGTTGTGGGGTTTTCATTTGTTTTTCCTACTAGTTTGTGAGTTGGAGTATAAATCAGACAAAACTGCTTGATTCCAAGTAGAGCCTTACAAAATACAAAGCAGAGAAGCAGAAGAATGTCAGAGCTGGAAGGTACCCACACCCCATCATCCAGCCGCTCCTCCTACAAACAGGGCCCTCTGCATCCCCCTTCTGTGGATGGGCCCAGTAAAGCTGAATCTCTTGCTGTTTGTCTTTCAGGGAACATATGCCGGCACTTGCTGCCCCTGGTCCAGTGCCCCACCTTGATTGTACATGGAGAAAAAGACCCACTGGTCCCCCGTTTCCACGCGGACTTCATTCACAAGCATGTGCGTGGGTCCCGGTGAGTCCACCTCCTCCTCGCTTCAGCCTCTGGGCCTCAGGAGGAAGAGCAACAGGGAGGAGGGTTGCCATGTCAATAAATAGCACCACTGTGTTTCGGGTACAGAGAAATAGGGAGCACAGAGGCTCTGATGTGTGCGTGGCCTGTAACCCCACAGCAAGGCGTTCCCAGATGAGCTCCTCTGACTGCCGTGGAGGCGAATGTGTGAGTGGATGCTGCGTCCCGTAACACGGGTGGCTGCTGGGATGGCCGGCAGTATCACGTAACTGGGCATTTTCCATGGGGCCCATCATCATGGAAGCACTGTCTGCCCATTGGGGACAGTCTCTGTAGGCCAAAGAAAACGCAACCTGAGGAGAAGCTTCTTGGCACTCAGTTAAATACTTGCTAGCATTTTCTGTGCTTCTCCTGGCAAGTATTTTTTAATATAGATATAAGATTATTCTTTATTCAACCCTGAATCCTGCTTTTTTTTTTTTTTTTTTTACACTTTATGTTGTAGATTTTCAGGTTATTTCAGCCTAAGTAGGTGCATGTGGATGAGAAGCCTGTCACTCAGAACCACACGGTACCCACACACGTCTGCCTGTGTGGGCAGCGCTCATGATCAGTAGCAGCCACGTGTTACTTGTTCTGTGCCCCACAAGACGTGTCGACAGAGCGTCTGCTCTTCAATCCCATACACTTTTGTGTGGGATAGAAATTTATATTTAAATACTTTGGATGGCACAGGAGCCAGCTTTTGCTGGTACTTATGCCAAGATGAAAATTCAAAGCTGAATAGGTTCAGTATTCCCTTCATAGGCAACAGATACATACCCTGAAGCAGAAAATAAGTGCCTGGGAGGTAGTGGACTTTTTTCCTTTTTTCAACTTACATACTAGAAGGTCAAGTGAGGCTTGGCCCCCTCCACAGAAGCTACATGTTAATTCCAGAATTGCTGTCACTTATGCAGGATGCCTTTGGCATTCAGTGGAATTCTTTTGGAATGACTTTATTAGTGACCTAAGAAATTCCTTCCTCTCTGTCCTTCCCTTTTCCCTCCATGAGCCAATTTCTGCTGCCGGCTTTTGGTCAGCACTGCCTGGCACGGTTGGCAGGGACGGGTCCTGTGAGCTCCCGCAGTCCAGAGGAAAGCAGGCTGAGAGCAGTGCTGCTGCTGCTCCATCCGGAGAGGGCGTGATAGTTTCCCAGATGGATTTCTCAGGGGAATTTTAAATGTGGGGACATGCTGCATGTTCTGCAGTAGACTGTGATTACTGCGATTTTGGTAATCACAGACTAATTATACTTCACAACAAACTTATTAAAAAATATCGTCTCCATTTTACAGATGAGAAAATTGAGGCTGAGCGACATTGAATAGCCTTACAAGCTAACAGAACTAGTACCTGACAAACCCTTGATTTTTTTTTTTTCTGTTATAGTACTTTTCCCTACAGCACCGCTGCCTCCCATAAGCACACTATCATTTTAACATGGTGGTAAGATGCCTGGATCAACCATTTGCTGACTGGGTCATTGTCTTGTGGCTTTAGAAATGGCGGGCTTTGCATGCTGACCCTCAGTATCCTGAGACCACCCGCTTTAGAGAAAGTTTAATTTAGGGATTCTGCTCCAGACCCATCTCCTAGCAACAAAATACATCAACACCGGAGATAAATAATCCCTTAACATTCAGATGTTAATTATTTCAGTAGACTATCATGTGGAAGATAGTTTCCTTAGAGCATATTCTTTGGCACAGATGAGTTGAAGGTAAAGTGTTACCAGCCGTGATTGACTAGCTGGCTCACGCATCACACCTGCTGCCCGCTCTGCTCCAGCAGCCCTCCACGCTGGGCACCAGCGTCCTCTGAACAGGGTTGGTTTCTTTTGGGCCCATAGGGTGGGGTGGGAGGTGCCAAAGTGGTCCTGAGTCTGCCTGGCCATCTGACGGCAGGACCGCAGCCGGACCATAGCCACTGCCAGTGAAGGCTGTGTTCCGTTTCCTCCCCAGGTCCACTTCTGATTAGACATTAAAGACAGTCTCTCCCTTCAAATACTGTACCAGCAAATAGACATCACGGGTGACACAAGTCCTTCCTCTTCTCAGAGCAGGCCTGCTTCCTGCTTACTTTCATTGTCTCTTTTCTTTCTTTGTGGAAGAACAATAGAGTCTCTGGATGCCACGGGGCCTGAGAGATCATTCAAGTGCCGGATTTAGAACCGCTGTAGTAAGATCATGTTTGTTGATTGACTATTCATTTACAAATGTACATATTTCGTGGTCACAGCTTCACGCCTTGACGCATGCACGTGCTTTGTCCCCCACCTCCAGGCAGCACCAGTGGACCACCCCTCTCCCATCACTGTGGTGGTTTTCAGTCTAGGAGTTACTTTTACTTTGTTTTCTGTGTTACTGCCCTTGCGATTTCCATTTTGCTTTCTTTGGTTATTCATAGTCCATAAGTGAGAGAAACCATCATAACCTCTGTTCCCTTTCTGACTTACATCTCTGAGCATTGTCACCTCAAGACCCACCCATATGGTCCCAAAAGCCACGGTTTCATCTTTTTAGTATCTGAGTAATATCTCCTCAAGTGTGAATTCGCAGTTTCTTTGTTCAGCCGCCCCTTGATGGGCACTCGGGCCCAGGCCTGGCTGTCACTGTGCTGCTGTGAACACGGGCATGCCTAAGCCTTTTCATACTCGTGTTTTCACATTCTTTAGGTAAATATCTAGAAGCACTGTTGCCGAGTCACAGAGTATGCCCATCTTTAGTGTTGAAGCAATTGCCATCCAGTTCTCCATAGAGGCTCCACCAGCTTCCATCCCCTGCAGTGGAGTCTCTTTCCTCCCCATGCCCTGGCCTCCACCGGCCTGGTCCCGCCTATGGATGTGGCCCATTCACACAGGGTGAGGTGAGATTCTCTGTGATAACAAGTGATGCGGAGCATTTTTTCATGTGCCTGTGAACCATCTGTCTGTCTTCTCGGGAGAAGTGTCCGTTTAGATCTTTGACTCATTATTTAATTGGGTGGTGGTTGTTGGTTGAGTCGTGTGAGTTCTCTATGTTTTGGAAATGAGCCCTTTGTTGACATGTGGAGGGCAGATATCTCCTCCTGGTCTGTCAGCTGCCTTTTGGTTTTGGTGGTGGTTTCTCTTGCTGTAGAAAAGCCTTTTAGTTTGGAGTGACTGTAGTCTGCAGGGGTGTGGCGGCCTGCTGTCTCCAGCAACAACGCACGCACCTCAGCTACACGCGCCGCCGAGACGGGCGCAGGCACCTGCGTCAGAGCTGGTGCTGACAGACTTGCAGGGTCGCTGTATATGCTCAGATTGTTACTGAAAAGAAAAGCCCTGTGATGTCTGCGGCCCGCCTGAAGTGCATCCTGCTCAGCAGGGCACTAGCGGTGTGCGAGTCTGCTGGGGCTGTGCCTGCTGTAGGCCACGGCTGGGCGGCTTCCTGCAGGGATGGCTGCCTCACAGTCCTGGGGCCTGGAAGTCTGAGAACAAGGTGTTGGCAGGTTGGTTTCTCCCACGCCCCAGTCCTGTGTCCCGATCCCCATAGAAGGACACCAGTTCTGGTGGAGGGCCCGCTCCTTGCCCTCAGCCTGCAGACCTGCCTCCTGATACAGGGACATGCTGCCATGCTGGGGTTGGGGGTCTCAGAGTGTGAATTTGAGAGGTGTGACTAGGTCACTGACAAGGAGCTGGGATCTCAGGAATGGGAGCAGGAGCAGGGTCACCTTGCAGACCCAGCTGTACCTAGCCAGTGCCTGCCTAGACCCCTGATACGGGGCCCCTTCCTTTGCCTGGCCGGGTGGGCTGCGACTGTGGCATTGGGTTTCGACTCAGATGTCTGCTTCCTTCTCCTCCTCCTCAGCCACTCTTGTTTGTGAGCCAGCAGCTGCTTGTTGATGCCTCTGACAGCTGCGAGCACGAGTGTGGTTTTCGTCCGCTTAAGCAGGACGCAGCCGAGTGCATCTCCAAGAGCTCGGTGCATGTGGAAAGGAAGAGTACGAGAGGCCGGGAGCCCAATGGTGCTGGGCAGGGCCTAGGCAACTCAGGCCTGCTCGTTCTGGGGTGGGGGCGGGGGAAGAGCAGAGAGGGCGGGAGCTGAGCGCACATGCCTTCGGAGCTGGGCTCAGAGTCAGCGGAAGGGGCGAGGTGGGACTGGAGACTCCCTGGGACCTGAGCGTTCATGGCAGAGGTGGTGAGGGGTGCTGGCAGGCACGCACCGGACTGGGGTCCCCTGCTGGCTCTGACACTGACTGTGGGCCCCACACAGTATATGAGTGCTTCCTTGTTATAAAATGGGGTGATAATGCCTCTGATCTCAGAATGTTCTTTTGAGGCCTGAGTGTGGGAACAATCGTGCACTGAAGGCTTAGGAGAGCCCCACATGCTAGCTGATCCCATGGGGGATGGAGTGCCGGGGCGGGGGGGTGCCTGCACGGGGCCAGGAGACCAGCAGGTATCGCTTCACAGGAGGCCAGAGGCAAGGCCTCCCAGTGAGCCCATCCCTCTTGGTTTTCATAGTGGACGAGATCCTGGTACAGAGAACCAGGCTTTCAGTTCAATTTTAAGGGTTCATAAATAATTTAGAGTTTTAGAAAACACTATAGCGTGTTACTTATGGCCTTGGCTTAGCTGTAGCTCTCAGAGCTGAACCTGAAAGCTGTGGAAGGTCAGCCTGAGAAGGAGCGGCCCACAGGGGCGTCTCCTTCACCACCTCGTCCGGACAGAACGTCCTGGGAGCACCGAGTCACGCAGAGTGAAGAGACTGAATTTATCCCGGGTGACCAGGACAGGCCTTGTTTCCCCCAAGATGTAGAATCACATCTTTTTACTTCTAAAGGTGCCAAATACCATAGGAACTTGATTTGCCACCTGCGGCTGGTGGTTTCCTGCCGAGCGGGTGTTTGCTAGTGGGGGCTCCCACTCATGTGCTGGAGGACATGGCGCTGCAGACCGCTCTCTGCAGAGCCTGTTCTTTAGCGCCTGCATGCTCAGGTGAGGTCCCGGGTGGCGGCTGCGCAGCGGTGTGGTGTGGACGGCTCTGCCCAAGCTGTCTGATGGGGCCTGCCCCAAAGAGGAGCCAGGAGTGGGTTTGAGCGTGAGAATGCTGAGGAGGAGGAGCACAGAGCACCAAAAGCACCAATTGCATCAAAGAGCAATTTTCTTTATACTCTCATTCCTTCCATCTGTCTGCCCATCCAGAGTCCCGTGTGGTTCTGAGCAGAGGCCCTGGGAGCAGTCACCCATATTTTCTAATAAACGGAACCTAGTGCTCACTTCCCTGAGACCTAGAGATCACTGTAGGTGGGTGCAGGTAGCGCTGAGGCTAAGAAGGCTGGGCTAGGGTCCTTCCTTCCTGGGTGTCTGAGGAAGTTGGGTGATGGGGCACGGCACGCGAGAGCCAGCTCAGCTTCCAGGCTGGCAGGTCGGGTCCCTACTACAGAATCCATTTTAGCATGTTAGGGGGTGCAGTTTGGCCTAGGCACGTCTGTGGCCCTTCAGCACTCTTAGTGGTGGTTCTCTTCTCTCGGCTAGCGGATGCCTGTGCATCCTGGCGAGGCCTGCTCTGAGCAGGACAGCCGAGGTCCGATGTCTTATTCATGGCATTGTTAGCTTTCCTGAGAGCCCCGGAAAGACGCCAGCACTGTCTCCTCCTTTCAAGTAGGTTATCATCAGTGTCTCGGGACTTCCCTCCCCCCACAAGGTTGCGTTGCAGACCAGCATCATGCAAGGACACCTCTGTCCATAAGTCCTCCCGAGTGCTGAGTTCTTAGACTCCCCCTTTCAAGAAATTGTAGAGGCAGGCGCTGTGGTAACTGGCACTGACCTCATTGCAGTCCTCTCATGTCCAGTTGTCATCGCAGACAGGACAGCTTCGTGTTGCACTTGTGTTGTTGCTGCAACACTTGCATTACGTCTCTGCTTTCACAGCTGGTAAATAGGCTGGCTTTACTACAGGAAATGCGGACCAGCCATGTTTGACCAAAACCCTAATGAAAGGAAGAGGCCTTCTGAGGACGGTAGGAGGGGATGGCGCTAAGACACTTGTGTCAGCTGCAGAACAAAGAGGTCCCCACGCTGCCACTGCTGCTGCAACCCTCAGAGCCCCGAGGACACTCATTGCCTTCAGTGTCAGACCACCCAAAAGGACAGGGCCACTGGAAGAGCTTGAGCCACAGGCTGGTGGTGGGGAGGGCTGTGGATTTAGATTTCGACTTGCCTGCGGCATAGACACCCTCAGAAGCTCACCTCCAAGCCAGTGGATTTGGGACAATTCATATTTTTATCATCTTTTCAACCTTCTCTCTGAAAATCAACTTAATTAAAACTTTTTTCAGCTAACCACCAAATCACACCCCATACACCTGCGGTGGGGCTTGGCCTTCGAGGGCACGTCACCGTCCCCGTGGGTGGGCTGCGCTGCTGATCCCCCTCCAGGCTGTCACAGACTCCGGGAGACTTGTGCTCCTAAGGGCTGTTTTCGGGGAACGTTTATAGTATACTCAGGAAGAAACTTCATTTTCTCCTCAATAGGAGTCATGGAAAAACTGTGGCAGCTTCTCACTCTAGATATCACGAAATATTAGGGTAGCTAAGAGATTCCTCAATGGTATGCCACTGATCAAATGCTTTCTGTTTTTAGGTTGCATCTGATACCCGAAGGCAAGCACAACCTGCATTTACGTTTTGCAGATGAATTCAACAAACTAGTGGAAGATTTCTTAAAGTGAAAATGTTCCCAGACAAATGCCACTGGGGACCCCTTAGCCGTCACACCCACCTCACTTCAGCTGCCCCCCACCCAGACTGCTGCTCCTCTCACAAGCCTATCCCAATCCACATTCATGATGGCGTACTAGCTTCAGTAGCTGCGAAACTAGATCTGATTTTTACCATTAAGTTAATGTCTACCATTGCCTTAAAAAATAAGTTCCTATTAAGATTATATTTTCAGGGCCTCCCTGGTAGCGCAGCGGTTGAGCGCTGGGTTGCGAAGCTGCCCGCAGCCTCTGCAGCGCTGATTTGATCCCGGGCTGCTCCCCGGCCACCGGAGGAGGGTCCCACATGGCGCGCAGACCTCTCCTGCCACCCGCTGCTCCCCTCAGCAGTGTGCTTCGGTCCTTCTGCCTGCTCTGCTCCCCGCTCTGGCTCTGGTGAATTCTCTCACCCTCCCGCGCTTCTGACTGTACCCAGTGCTTGTATAAATAAAATAAATAAATCTTAAAAAAAAAGATTGTATTTTCAAATAAATCTCAGGAGATTCATTTGTTCCTGACTATAACTCTAGGAGATTTTGAATTGATGCTACCTTTTGTGTGAAAAGAACAAGACTTTATTGCTCACAGAAAGGCAGAAAAGGAGGAGAAAGTCCTTGCCTAGGGGCCTCGATTTTACATTTTCACGAAGTTGTTGGAGCTCCAGGAAGTTCTGCTGTTATCTCCAAATCTATTCACTTCCAGACATGACTAGATCCCTTTAATATAACTGAGTGAATATGAAAACAATTTTCATCCATGAAGAGAGCAGAAGGGCTGTGAAATCAGGATTTCTACTCTATTAAAATCACAAAATCCATAAGCATATTCACAAAGCATTTTAGCATAAAAGAACAAAATTATTTGAAGGGGGAATAAAGAGGACACGAGCTTTAGGACACATGCTTTTTTTTTATTAGTGTAGATATTTTATACCTAACAGACAACACTGTAATTTTGAGAGGACTTCCACGTTAGAACAGTGTGAATTTCTGACAGAGGCAAAACGCAGCACCATAGTGTACAAGTAGAAAGACCATGCTTGATTGAGGACAACAGCAGTTCACTAAGGATGCAGGATTTGTCTGAGAAGTTCCTACGCCTCGTCCTCGCCCTCCTCCTCCTCGAACTCGCCCTGTTCGTCAGCCGTGGCGTCCTGGTACTGCTGGTACTCGGACACCAGGTCGTTCATGTTGCTCTCGGCCTCGGTGAACTCCATCTCGTCCATGCCCTCGCCCGTGTACCAGTGCAGGAAGGCCTTGCGCCGGAACATGGCCGTGAACTGCTCGGAGATGCGCTTGAACAGCTCCTGGATGGCCGTGCTGTTGCCGATGAAGGTGGCCGACATCTTGAGGCCGCGCGGCGGGATGTCGCACACGGCCGTCTTGACGTTGTTGGGGATCCACTCCACGAAGTAGCTGCTGTTCTTGTTCTGCACGTTGAGCATCTGCTCGTCCACCTCCTTCATGGACATGCGGCCGCGGAAGATGGCGGCCACGGTCAGGTAGCGGCCGTGGCGCGGGTCGCAGGCGGCCATCATGTTCTTGGAGTCAAACATCTGCTGCGTGAGCTCGGGCACGGTCAGCGCGCGGTACTGCTGGCTGCCCCGGCTGGTGAGGGGCGCGAAGCCGGGCATGAAGAAGTGCAGGCGCGGGAAGGGCACCATGTTCACGGCCAGCTTGCGCAGGTCCGCGTTCAGCTGGCCGGGGAAGCGCAGGCAGGTGGTCACCCCGCTCATGGTGGCCGACACCAGGTGGTTGAGGTCCCCGTAGGTGGGGGTGGTGAGTTTCAGGGTGCGGAAGCAGATGTCGTACAGGGCCTCGTTGTCGATGGAGTAGGTCTCGTCGGTGTTCTCCACCAGCTGGTGCACGGACAGGGTGGCGTTGTAGGGCTCCACCACCGTGTCGGACACCTTGGGCGAGGGCATGACGCTGAAGGTGTTCATGATGCGGTCGGGGTACTCCTCGCGGATCTTGCTGATGAGCAGCGTGCCCATGCCCGAGCCTGTGCCGCCGCCCAGCGAGTGGGTCAGCTGGAAGCCCTGCAGGCAGTCACAGCTCTCGGACTCCTTCCGCACCACGTCCAGGACCGAGTCCACCAGCTCGGCGCCCTCTGTGTAGTGGCCCTTGGCCCAGTTGTTGCCGGCGCCGCTCTGGCCTGCCGGAAGGAAAGAAGAATGTTTGACACTAAGACATAAGGAATTCCAAATCCTGCCATTTTAACTGAGCTTTGCAGGTTAGCTCTTTCAGACACCCCTTTTTGCCTACAAAGAGGATTTTCCATGTATTGGTCACCCTCAAAAACACTGAGGATCATAATAAAGTACAAAGCAAGTTCATAGAAGGTTATTAACTGAGCGAGAACATACCAGTACCCAACTGGTTTTAAATTAAGATCAGAAAACATCCTATAAGCATTTAAATTTGGTGCAGAGAAACAGGCCGGGCAGTGTTGTAGTGCGGGGAGTTGGTAAGTCGGGCTCTGGGCACTGCACAACCTCCCAGTCATAATCTGGGCCGTGGCGTCTGGAGGTGGCTCCCTTTGGAACCTCAGCCGCCCATTAACTCCTGTTTGAAGCATCTTCACTGCTCTTTGTTCTTTCCCCTTCAGAGGCTGCTCGGGACTGGGTGGAATTAGGCTAGGACTCAGGCTGTCTGTGGGCACAGTCTGCACCCCACATTCCATAGGAAGAACAGGGGAACCCTGGTGTTTAACAAGGAGACTTGCCGAGGCAGGGTCCCGTCCCTCAGGGTCTCCTCCCTTTGGACCCCCTCTCTTTGGGCCCCCCCCAGCTGGGCTACATACCAAACACGAAGTTGTCGGGCCTGAAGATCTGGCCGAATGGCCCAGACCGAACCGAGTCCATGGTGCCCGGCTCCAGATCCACCAGGATGGCCCGAGGGACGTACTTGTTACCTGCGGACACAGCAGGGTTAGACCCGAGGCAGCCAGAGGAGCCCCCTGGGCCGCTCTAGGTGCCTCACAGCAGAGCTCATTAGGGTGCAACAGAGGAAACGCTAGCACCCAGGCCTACAGGACGTTTTCTGCTTAAAAAGACAGTGCGCGTGCTGGGTCAGGGCAGGCGCGCGGAGTCTGGAGGCGCTTTGGCTGCAGAGACGCGTCTGGCTCTGCCAGCTGGGGAGCACCTGGTAGGCAGGCAGTTTCTCTGCCCTCTGCTCCAGGTGCGCGCGTGGCCGTGTGGAGAGCAGTTGGTCGGCCAGTCCTCAGACTTACCGGCAGCCTCGTTGTAGTACACATTGATCCTCTCCAGCTGCAGGTCGCTGTCTCCATGGTAACTGCCTGTGGGGTCGATGCCGTGCTCGTCGCTGATGACCTCCCAAAACTGGAAATGCAAAAGGCGTCCGTGAAAGGCTGGCACCCTAAACGCCAGGAGGGGTGGCCCTTCCTTCCTCACGCGTGCTGGCCCAGCAGCCACTGCAATGGACAGTCCAGATGCCCTGGCCACCCTGGCTGGGCCCCCACCCCTGCAGCAGCAGCCACAGCTGGGGGGCTGGGCCATGCGCAGAGCATCGCCATGTTATGGCGCTACCCTGAGAGGCTGAGGGGTCCCCGAGGAGAAGGTGGGCACAGCAGAGCCCATGGAGGGGCAGCAGCCCTGGCTGCTGTGGGGGCTGTCACACTGGGCAGTGCCAGCTGGTCAGCAGCCTATGGTGGATCCTGGCAGGACTGAGGCTCAGGTGGCCCCATCCTGAGGCTGCTTCCTGGAATCAGCGTGCAATTGCGCAGCTTTCTATCCCCAATGCCCATGTTGGCCTCTAGGCACTGCCCACAGCAGGGGTGGGTGGGAAGGGCAGGCAGGAGCTTGGCAGCAGACTGGGGGCACTGGATGGAGCTGGCCAGGGTGAGGGAGCAGGCTCCATTGTGGATTAGCAGCAGGAAAGGGGCGGGGAGTTGGGGGTGGGCAATATGGCGGTTCTGCCAGAGACCATGTCCTTGCCGGCGTGCCCGCCCACACCTTGCACCGCGCGGCTCAGCCTCGCCTCTGCAGGCGGTAATCACAGCCCCCCACGCGGTCACTGCCGCGGCGCAGACTGGAAGCCAGACATTTACAGATCACGTCTGGAGGGGCTCATGTTAGGGAAATTATCTCACATCCTCGTCCGTAACCAAGCGAGAAGCCTCCATAACATCTGTCACCGTCATGACACTGCATTTTTCCATTCAAACTACAAAAATATGCAAATTCCACACGAGGCCACTGAATCCGTACGCCCGTGGCCTCAATCCAATTTACAGAGACTAAGACACCCAGGGAAACGCCACCTACGGTCTCCAGAAGGGCCAGGAGGGAAAGGCATTTCGGGGGGCCCTGATGAAAGGCACCCTGCGCTGCGTCGCCACGCGCATCGCGGCAGGTGGTGGAGCCGCCCGCGCCCCGCCCGGCGGCCGCACCGGGAGTGCCACCTGGACGAGCCGCTGCCACCTCCCCAAACCCCGGCCCGACCGGGTAGCACCGTCGGGGTCCGCCACCCGCTCTGCGGTGCGCCCCTTGGGCACCCGCCGCTGCTCTCCGGCCGCGCCCTGGGGATCCGGCGGCCGCAGCCCGGGGACCCGCCGCCCCCCGCCCCCCGGCCGCGCGCCCACCTTGGCGCCGATCTGGTTGCCGCACTGGCCCGCCTGGATGTGCACGATCTCGCGCATGGTGCCGGCTGCGGAGCGGGAGAGGCGCTGGCGCTCGGGGAAGTGCGCGCGGCTCGGACCGGGCGACTGGCGAGCGCTGGGACCTGGCGCCGCGCACCCCCGGCCGCCCCTCTTATACCGGGGCCGCCCCTCCCGCCCGCCCGCGGTGACGTAATGGGGCGGGGCCCGAGGGCGGCGCCGCGGGGACTGCGGCACCGCGAGGGGGAGCCGGGGCGCGGTGCGAGGTGCGGGGCGCCCGGGCCGGGGGCTGCGAGAGTGGCCCCGAAGCCTGGGGTGGGCGTCGGCCCCGTGCGGGGCTGCCCAGCCCGGGCCCGGCCCCCCCCGGCCGCCCTCCCCGCCCCGTGCGCGCCGCCCACCGGCGCCGGGTCCCGCGGTGGCCCCGCACCCCAACCCCACGCGGGGTCCCGGGGCGGGGACGGCGCCCAGGCCAGCGCCGGGCGAGGGCGCCCTGCCGGCCAGTCCTTGCGTCTTGGGGGGCCGGGGCAGAGGAGGCGCGCAGCCTTTTGGGGGGGAGCCCACGATTTTCGGTGGGGTCTGCAGCTGTTGGCTGAGGTTTCCCAGAGTCTGGGCAGGGCCGGGGACCCCGGGCCTCGCTCGGGGTAGGAATTCGCAGCGAGAATGAACGCCTTGAAGGGTCGAGGGGCGGGTGGGGGTCCCGGGGGAACTCTGAGCACCTGTCTCCAAGGAGGGAGCGCTGGCCGGGCGGGTGGGGTGAGCTGGGAGGAGGTTCCCGCTGGGA